CAGCTAAAGGATTTATTGCTCTTGCAGACATTTAGTCAAGTTTTCCCATCAATAGTTGAGAGCGAAGTGTGAGAGTTCATAACATTCTCAGGCATGTCGGAGGGGCAATGAGGAATCGCGCTTGAATTTTTTATTTAATAATTTCTCCATGGGGTGTTGCTCGAGATGAGAATCTGGCATCGTCTCACCACCTCACGCCCAGCGCGCCCGCTGAGGTGGCGCAGTATCTGAACCAGGTAGATATACTGTGGCGTTAAGTGTAATTAAGATCTGTAGCCTCTAACTGTCGCGTTTATCATTTTAAATTTAGCGATGATTGGCGTTTCGGTCGTGAGCGGCACGACGCTGATGATGATGCTTCAGCTGCCAATAATGGGACATGGAACATGTGTTCGTGGCCGCATCTCGCGGATTCCTCGCGAGGAACCTGGCGTGGAGGATGGCTGGGTAATGACGCGGTGACAGATGTCACCAGACTCCATCAATTGCTATGCCCATGATTTTGATGAATGATCCGAACGCGCGGCCTCAGACTCTTGATCGCATCTCACCGTGTCGCTTCCTATAAATATACACTTTGGCCATTGCCCACATACGGGCCAACCGCAAATCCCAAATGATCTGCGCTGGAGTGAGAATTATAAATAAAGTGCAACACCACATCAAGTGTACCTCACATAGTGTATATACTTCTCGGAAAACCAACAACGCTTAAATACGCACTCGAACCGCTTCAGCGGGCCTGAAGAGATCAGGCAAAGAGCAGTGGCAGACGAAATGTGTGCAAAAGCGTTGAATTTTCCCATCTCATTCCGACGATGGATGAGCCAGATGAGACTCTGGAGGTGAGGGGCTGCTCAGTAGCTCCACTGCTGAGGTAATTCAATAATTTCTGCATGAAGAAGACAGGAACAAGGAGTCACTCTCAACCACTTACGTTTCACTTGTTTCACGCCACTTTCACATGGTTTCAGTTCAAATGGATTAAAATCATGCCACACAATCCTTCACACATAGGAATGAATGGATTTACGAATTGTGGTGTGGTTTTCAAAGATAGCCTGACTTAGGCGTCATTGCATCCTTACAGATTTCGTATGTCGGTTCGTAAAACCTATACGAATTTAGGTTGAAACTTCAAGTTTTTGGCCCATTAGGCGGTGAGTTTTCTTTATAAAATCACTGATGATTCTGAGCCACAAATGTAAAACATATGTATGAATTTAGAAACCATACTAGAGAACATAAAGCAGATTACGTAATTCGATTACCTACTGAGCATAAGAGCTTAATTTAAAGCACGCGTGTTAGCACGAAATCGAGTGAACAGCATTAGAACTACACTAACTGGACTCGGGGAATTTTAATTGAGTCTCTCACTATGGAATGTGGAGAAAGAGTTGCTGAAAGTTGAATTATCAACCCCAGAATGGGAGAGCGGCATCTTGAAATCTCATTGAATTTCCCCAATGCCATTTGCAATTATCCCGATGTTTCTATGCGGAATTTTCACGCTATTCGCGTGCGTCCCCGTCGTCACAGGATCGTTGTCGTCTGTTTTATATTCCAGAATTTTACTCATGATATTGCCGCGAGTGGAGCTCGCCTCGTGGTGTTGCCCCACAGCGCGAAGGGGAGTTGATAAACAAAAATTTTTAGTGTTTCACCAATGCTGAATTATACACTGGCGAAGTGGAGTATTTAAATGAGGAGGAGGCTGGAGGTGAAAGAGAGAGAGACATTAATGAGCTCGAAAAAAAGCGTATACATACATTTTAATATGATGTGAAAAAGGGGCATAAAAGTGTATTTTTAACACACTCACCCGCGCTCGCGTATGCGGAAAAGAGCGGATTTTATACCAAATTCGTGTCGCTCCGGCCGATGTGTGTACACAAAAGGACGATGATGGTTCTGTGCAGATCTCATTTGTTTAATTAGACAATTGACGGACGTCTCTGGGCGGATATTCGCTGCGTATGATTCCCAATATTTACATTTGCCCAGATCGAGAAATCCGCAGCGGCTGAGATTTCACCATTCTTGTGTAATTAAGCAAAATTTTCTACTATTTACTGTTACCCACCGATCAATCATAATGATTTATGTGCGGCACGAGGTTTAGGTGAAGACACTTGAAATATTTTGGAATATTGAGGTATCTCTCCACACCATTTCGGGGGCCCTGCTGAAGATGCTCATCGCGGAGAAGAGGAGCTGAGAGACTTCATTGTGTGCATCTGCTGAACCGAACACACTTTTCCGAGGGGAATTGAATGAGACAGTACCACTTTTCGAGCACAAGAAACTATTAAATGTGATTTAGAGTTGTAGTCATTTGGAATAGCAGATAAAGAATAATTAATTTTGACTAAGAGCCCGCCAAATGTGACTTCTCTTAAATATTTCATCTCACACGTTTTTTTCATATGCGCGACTTCTCATCTCGGCCAACGTAATTCAATGGATTCTCACTTCACGGTGATGGCAATAATGAGATGTTTAGATGTTTGAGAAGAAATCCCTCATTTTATTGATACTCCGCACTTTGTTGTGTGTGTTTTTATGTCCACAACTTGTTCCATTAATAATTCTGAAAAATCTCTGCGGCAGACTGAGTCATTTCAAGAAATATGCTGCATTTTTTTCACGTGAAGAGCGAAATTATGCAATTTGTTTGCATCAGCAATTCTCTCACTGATCTGTTGTACGTGAAAATTTCATGTGTTCCACTTTCATCAGTTTCTGTGTCTCACGTGTTATTTTTCATTGGGTGGAGAAAGAGGACTTTTTATTCATATTCGCTTTCCCACCAAGGATAATATTATTTATTAAAATAAACTCGTGAAGTTGGTCGCTGGAATATTGAAGATGGTTTTGCCTTTTAGTTGGTCAAAACTGTAGCACGAACTAGTCATTTTTTTTTCTAGAATATCTGCAGGGCATCATTTTATAAATTCATAGTCATATCTTCAATTTTTTTTTCAAAACAAATTAATTTATTACCAGAATTATTTCGTGCTTCTATGGGGATTTTCTAGATGCAAGAATCTCTGAAATGTTCTCGGATTTTCATCAATTTATGACTAATGTTTAATGTGAAAATTCAAAGAATTTCCCACATTTTTCTCTCTCTCACACTCACACGAGAATGATTCATTGAGAATTTTTATCTCATCTCCCTGGCACGGTCACAAAGACAAGGCGCAAGGCGAGAAACTGAATCAACTTTAATAAGGAACACATTAATCATGTCTTAAAGTGAAATAATTGAAGAAAATGAAAAGTCATATGATGTATAATTAGGAAATATCTTAATTGCTATCACTTGATAGTATTTTGTATCAGATAATGTGTTGATGCTTCTCATTTTCACTTTTTGTATGAATCTTCACGACAGCACTTAAGCATTTCGCCAGTCGCAATCAAATTACTGAATTTGAGCTAGAGGAAGTCTCACTCTATGAGCCGTGATTTCCGTTTAATTTCCTCCGCTGCAACAGAGACAGCGAAGGCTGGAGGATTTGAACCCCATTCTTTGGCTTGAGAAAGTCATTCATGTAAATGTTTTTACACTCCAACATTGTCCGGAAGAAAGTGAAGGAGGAAATCTCTCACTTTGTCCCTAAAATAGAGATACTTCGTTAGTTTTGTCGCGTTGACAACTCCTCAAGTTCAAAGAGAGTCGCGCTGAGATGGGCGGCGAAAGGTTCTTGACTTCTCTCTCCCCCACCCCGAGCATAATCCATTCACTGTGTGACGTGCTCATGCCAAAAAGACTTCGCTATGCAATTAAAAAACAAATATTTTGTTAGAATATCCATTTCCGAAATTAATATTTGGCATGTTGTGTGTATGCTCAAAAGTGTTTGCCCAACTTTCCCCGGGGAGACAGCGAGGGTGCATCTTGCAGTGCTGTCGGGAGGAAATGCAGCGGAAGGAGCGGAAGGATGGCTCAGAAAGATGAGAGGAAATGCGAGAGAGACTTCAAAAGCTCAATTGTTGCCAGAAGAGATAAATACGGAATGATTCTTTTGGTGAACGGAGCCGATTCACCAGCTACATTGAGGGTGTCAACCAACCATAAGTGGGTGGAGAGAAAGCTTCCACGGCACCCGGGAAAATGTGAAAGATGCACGCCATTTGTATAATTATGAGATTTTCAGCCACACGAGACAATTCATTTATATCTCCTCTCTGTCGACTTTTCTCTCCCTCCTCAGAACAGCATTCTCTTGCGAAACACCGAAGAATGCCACAAAGAATTTGTATTTGTACACTTCTTTAGTTTCTCTCGAACCCCAACTCGGTGAAAATTCTCATCAGTGTGGGAGAATAAAAAATATGTTGAAAGATTTTCTCTCGTGAGAAGGCTGCGAATGAATAAATAAGACAAACATCAAAATAGAGTTTAGGGATTTTTCAGCTCAATAGTCATTTCCTTTCGACATTGATTCAACCGCAAAACTCAGCTTTATGTTCTCCGAGGAAGTGCGAAGGAGGAAAGCGCGGAAAACTTCTCAATACCAAATGATTTACATGTTTTCTGTGCGCATTTCAGGCCAATCTTCAGTGTTTTTTCTTCTTTCAATTATGTCAATATTAAAAGACATTTAATCCCATCATAACCCAGAGAAGTGCATAATAATTTAGTAATGTGTCCTCAGAGTGTATTAACACGTGACTACTCTCGAAATTGTTTATGCAAATTTTGAATCTTAATTGAAGAATAATCATATAACTGACTTAATTTCGTTGCTCTTTAAGATGAGAACCACTTGCAAAGCAAACAATGTTAGTTGTGAAACATTGAATCTCCAAATATTTGCGTAAAATGAGAGAGAAGACTGCCAGCGACATCTACAGTGAAAAATACAAGGTGAAATTGGCGGGAGAAAAAGTGTCTCGACTCAGTGACTTCATGCTTTTCTCACTTCCAAATTGAATTGCGCTACAACCAGTTGCGTGCGATTAAATGAATGCTCAGGGAGAAAAGGGAGAAAAGTATATAGAGGAATGAGTTTGCAGGACAAAAATTGTATTTTCATCTCGTTGATAGTCCCCGTCCAGTAGCGGGCTCACTAGTTACAAAACTTTACATCTAAAGTGTATATAAAAATATATATTGCTGTCGGGAAGCCTCGTAAAACACGTGTTATAATCTTTCCCTCTCGGTGTCACTCCGACGATAGCATGAACTATGCATGTGATAATTGCATCTTATTGCTGCCATGTGGGATTATTGGGCAAAATTCATAGCAGAGAGACAAAATGAGGTACACAGGAGACACTGCGCCAACAGTAAAATCCACTCCGTTGATAACTTATTTTGAGACAACGCTATTAAAACTAAATATCGGTTCCATTTCGACTATAATCTCATGCAGTTATGTGCATCTGCATTTCATGAACATGCTCACCAGAGGAACCCATCGCCTAATGTGTGCCTTAATTTAATTTACCAATAATCACAGAGGCGTAAAATATAATGGACATTCTCTACTCCGAACACGTCACATGTGGAAAGTGCAATTTCCCTTGGAAATTTGCCCCACATTCACGATGCCATGGGGCGAGTGCATGCAGTGCCGGAGGTCAGACAAGGGCACATGGACGATAGATCTGCAAGATTCAGATTCTCAGAAATTTACACAGTCGATTTGAGAAAGGCATAAGAAACGAAGGGAAGAGAAGAAGATGCTCTCGTCGTTCGCGGAAAAGTCATCGCGCGCGTCATGTTCCAGATGTGGTGGCAAATGCAGATGGAAAGTTTATAAATTATAAAAGTTCTTCAAAAAATGATCTAACTTAATTAATCCGTCTTCTTCTCGCTCTCAATCCACCATCGTGCTGTCGGTGTGTGTGTCTCTCAATTTCAGAAATGACGCCCGCGGGAGGATCAATTCTTCTCTCGCTTGGACGAATCTATGCTCTTCGTGAGCTCGGTGAGAACGTCTTTGAAGATGATGGGATCCAAATTGCGGCCCAGCATGTAGATAATCCACCAGTCGCCGATATCAACCTTGTTGGAAATGGACTTGGCCACCTCTCTCGGCACCATGCGATTGCGTGCATTGAGGATTCTGGCACGAACTGCTGGCATCGTTATAATCATGACCCTGGAGGCACAAGAGGAGAGCCACCGAAAGATTAGTTTTCTCCCTCCCGAACAATGTATGTGACATGATGCAGGGAATTACACTCACCGATAAATTATTAATCCGACAAGAAGAATGGCCAGGATAATGTACCAGAACCATATGAATATGTACGTCTTCTCGTTGACAATGTTCAGCGGCAGGATGCAGAGGGAGTCGTGCTTCTGAATGGAGCCCGACGATCCGTACTTGTGGAAGATGCACTTTGTCACACGCGGAAAAACATACACCATGGGATCAAATCGGTTCTCCTGCGGTGTCTCGGACAGCCTCATCACCCGCAGGCCATAGGACATGAATTCACCGTCAAAGAACTTATTCATGAGCCACAGTTGAATGACAATGTTGACGAAGCAGAGGAGTTCACAGCCCCAGTAGCGAATGGCGTACAGTTTATGGCGCTGGCGGGGAATAAAAGACACTCGTGAATTATTCAGAAATATTGTTTTTCACCCCCACGTGTCATACCTTCAGATGCTGCAGCATGTAGTCGATGAGCACCTTCTTCTTGGCCGTCTTCTCCTCCTCGCGGCAGATGCCCAAATTCAGTCCCATCACGATGGTCCTCAGGAGACCACCCTCGAACGAGTCCCAGAGAAACTTCGGGGTGTAGCATGCGATTGCCTGGGAAGAGAAGCACGAGGAAACAATTACCCAAGAATCTCTCTCTCTCTCTCGCTCTCCATCTTGCCGTGCATGCAATAGAGGCCCTTGAGAGGCATTACAGTTGGCATTGGCAAAGTGGATAGATTCAATTCCCAGCGTTTTGCTGAAGACACTTTCATAGGTGTTAATTTATTTAACCGAATTCTTTTGAAAGTGTCGACTGGATGTCTACGACCGACCTTAATTAGTCAATTAACCGACTGGCAGCACGTAAATAATGTAATTGTGGTTTCTGCAAATAATTGTTATGTATTCGTACATAAATGTTTAATGGAAACAAATTACTTAAATCGTCTCAATATAATCTCACGCCAATTGTGCAATGTGCATGTGTGTATTGATCAGATCGATTAGATGTGTATTTTGAGCAGGTGTGATTTTTCCGCCACGGAAGAATTTCCGCTTCAAAGTGCTTTGTTTTTATTGCATCTCGACGTGCTTCTTGAAATTCGATGAATTTCATTTACAATAACCATTTTGGTACAGTGAAAATTCATACATATTCTTTTTCTCAATTGAAATGGACACAACTATCTGGAACAAGTTGCCATAAATATTGCATTAGGCATATTCCCTGGCACTTTGGTGATGTCAGAACGGACCTCGGGTTGGGTAAATTGAAATAAATTGCCCACCGTACGATAGCAATTGCCCGATGCGGCATCTTGGCCAAGGCACGGAATCGTGGCCGGCCAAAGATTGGGCAGAGAGAGCGGGAAGAAGGAAAAGATGGCAAGTGAAGCAACAGCATATTAATGTATCTCCACGTTCAATATGCGATGGACATGGATTTTTCTCCACCACACTTACTTGGCCTCCGCCACTACTTCGTCATGTCACTACTATTTTCATACTTGGGCTCCCACTCAAGTCAGTGGGAGCATATGTGGCGAGAAAAGTAAATTAAATTGATGTTAATTTTTTCGAGCATCTTTTTCAATTGAGCCGTGTGGCAATCAGGGATGGACTCGGGGTGTGTTCTCCGCGCTCACACAGAGCGGATGATGCAACTCACCTGGAAGAAGAGCACGAAGCAGACCCACTGGTAGTACGTGTAGTACTTCTTGGCACTCTCGTCGTCGAAGTCATTGCTGATTCCTGGATGTGCCACATCGAGCCCCACCTAGAATGTTGGCATTTAGAGCGGCTGCCACTGGGCGACAGTGCGCTGGACGCTTACCTGCCTCCGAAAGGCATCTGGCATGGTGAAAGTGCTGGAGATCCAGCAGAAGGTATTTACAACGTGGGTCGGGATCCCGGTGACGATGCAACTGATGGGCTGACCCACGTACTGGGTGGCAGTTATGATGAGACTACATGTGAGCAGGAGCACTGTGGTGAAGACATTATGCAGGCGAAAGACGGCGTTGTCCGTCTGGATCTCCTGGAGCTTGAAGTAGTCCTTGAGTCCTCCCAGGAGCTTATACATTGTGGCTTACACTGATCTCAGTCTATCGCGGAATGAATCACTACTACGCGGATCTCATGCACACAGTCACTTGGCAATTGGGCATACTTAATTGCAACAGTCTCTGGCTAAGCGCCCCATTTTGCACTTGAACACATCACAAAGATCAACACCCGCGGAGGCTTCCTGGTCCTGGGATGGAGCCCCCACTCCTCAGGGGGATGTCCTGGATTTTCCCGCGCTTTTTCCGTCCTCTCTCCGCAGCGAAAGGGATGCCCTTGCGCCGCTGCAGCAATTTGTAAACGCTGCCCGAGTGAATTTCGTCGCTGTTTCTCTCTGCAAACTGAATTACGTGATACACAACTGTGCTGGAGCTCCAATCTGATTGATACTACTACACTACGAGGACACCGCCGAGTACAGAGCAACCTCTCCACTCCAGCGGGCCCCCTCCAGATGTATTTTATAATGGCTATCTACACGATTGATGTGTATATAAGCGTGTAAACTTACTGGGAATGGAGTTGAGTGAGCTGAGACCCCTCTTTGTGGTTGCTTCGCGTGTTATTATTTTGCCTTTGCTTGTGTCTCCTCACCGATGGTCGGACTTTGCCAGACTCTGGCACTGTATTTGGCTGCTTTCAATCTCTCTCTCCCTCCCATTCTCGCAGCCCAATCGCCTGGGGAGGGCAACTCGTCAATTGTCTCAGCAATTGCCCATCCACATGGGATGTTGGCGACACGACAGCACCCACTATTGTGTGCAATTTCGCCGGGATGACACCCGAAAAGAGTTCAGCTCCAGCGAGCACACCGGCCGCTGCGCTATTCGTGTCAGAAATTGCTGTGACACAGGCGAAAGAGCAGGAATTCTGCTTGAGGAACTCACTGAAAATGCGCTGTCTTCGGCGCGTAAGAAGGTTGCCAGTCCCTGGATTGTGCGTGCTGGCACTCTTTCGCAGCCACTCGCATTCGTTCCCTTGGAAACATCACTCAACAGGGTGCCAGAGTGAGAGGGAGCGACCAGGACCCTGGCCCTTCCATCATCTTCTGCATGGGGAGAAATTCGACTCTGACCTACTCTGAGGCGGGAAATGCAGCGTTTCGCATGCGGAGATATTTATGAACCGTCATGTCTCGAGGCAGGGTCCGTTTTCGGTCGAAAGCTGCTGTCGCATTCCTCGAGAACCGTGCCTAAAAATTCCACAGCGCGCCAGAGATTTTTTCAAAGCGACACTTTATCAGCTTCCTATAATGGATTTATAAGTACTAATCAGTGGCAAGCTCTCAAGTGCTATTAGCTGTTATCAGGCAGGAAGAGGATATGTGTGCGTCAGAGAGCCCGAGAACTGAGGCGTCATTGAGACTCCAGAAGCTTCTGCTTAGTCTACATCCTCTTCGAAAATAACACCGGAACATTATGTGAAGGGTAACCCTTCTAATCGTGAATTGATGTCTTCCGCACTCGAGAGACACCCTTCCAGCTGTAACACAATCCCTTGTGCTCGCTTCCCCGTTGTTTTGATTTTTTGTCCTGATTCCCATGAAATATTGAGTTTGTTCATGCGCCCAAGCTCTCACCGAGTCTCCGTGCTCGAATGTATTATAGAATTTTGCCCCGAGTGTAATTGCTCTTAACGACTCAATCGCTCACGATTAAAAAGGCTTTTTCATAAATTAATTACGTAGAAGTGTGACCTTATTATTGCTTGCTATCGCAAAATTCACCCATTAATCTCTGTCTCAAATTGCTTCAATTTTAAATAAAACTCTTGATAGACTCGCGGCACTTGCATAATTTTATTTTCCACAATTACGCAACGCTCCTCTTATCACTTGGTGGTTATAAGTAAAAATAGCACATAGTTGTGAAAAATACAAGAACCAACAGTTAAACACTAATTTGAGGCACTCGAGTTTCCATAAAAATTCCTCTCTCAATAATAATTCTCACTCGGAATGACACTTTTTCGCAGTCATGTTGCTTTGCCTCAAAATTGGGTCGTTGTGTTTTGTATTCAATTTATCTCAATTGAGACTGAAAGCGTGTGTCACTCTAATACAACATACTTGTACTTACGCGACAGCTAAACATATTAAAAGTGAGAAAATTCAGAGTGTAAATGAGAAACACTGCAATTGAAATCTCAATTTGTTCGGGCTTCAGAGCCAGGTTTTTATTACTAAACTCAGTACTATATGTACGTGAATTATATAGGCCTATAAAAGTCAATACGTGCGATTAATTTAAGCGCCTTGACTGCGAATTTATTAGCTTTTGTTTTTGGCGATCGTAAACAATTACTATGAATAATGGAATCATTCACTGATTGTTGAGGGAAGCTTCTCTCATTTAGCAACAAAACATCAGTAGGACAGACATGTGACAACATTCTAGGCTAAAAGACTTTGAAGAATGCTGTGGGAGTTTGCTATGCAAAAAAGACTGATGCTAAACTTTTATGAAAACAATAAATTACACCTTCTGTCTGACTAATAAATAAATAAACACTAATCGTGCTAATCATGCTATTTGCTCACTTGCATGTGGAACATGTAGACAAAGCTTGTGAGATTAAGATTTGCAGAAACAAATCCCTGAACTGTGCGACGAGACGAGATCGAGTCTTAATATAGGGCTATCTGTCTCAGTGTATGATTAAATTGACCTTTTTACTTGACCCAAATTTAGCATTTTGGTGTGGATATAAAAACTTGGCGCAATGCTTCTTGAGATTACAGTTTTCCCGTTCCTCTTGGTTACATTGAGATATGGTTGATTTATGAACAATTGTTTCCACTTCACGATTGTCAATTTAGCTTGACTTGCAGTCACATTAAACTTTCATTCTATTCTTTTTCATTTCGCTACTCGCTTTTTCTTACATGCTTTGTGTCTAAAATGTTAAGCGTGAGTTGAACAAATTTGCGGCGAATTTTGTCACATAGTTTTAGTGATGATGAAAATAAAAAAAGCTGGTTAGTGTGCGGACGCCACGGTTGGAATTCATTGACCCCGTAAGAAAATGATGATTACGCACACGAAACTCAATTTTAATGCCACAAATTCATTTGATGGTGTTGAGCCGCATCACAACTCAATCAAAAAACAGTGTGTCTCTTCGCTCTGTGAATAATTTTCCAATGCCCAGAATGGTAACATGTGCGATAAACGGGCTCATGGTAGTTTCTTTTAAATGCCTCGCCTTTTCGTGAGGGCCAGAAAAAGGCATTGGCAACTGGTTCTTCGTGGGGCCTTTAAAAGACATTTTCTCTCTCTCCTCGAGCGCTTGTGGATAAAACAAACAAATCCAATGAGGCAAAGCGGGCAAAGCCGTGGGCTTGGAGTACAGTTGGGAGAATTCAGCATCTCTGAAATGTCGATAATTGCACTGCTGCTGCTGCCTTTTCTTAGACCTTTGTACCTTCTGGCCAATTGCTGGGTAGACAGAGGTGATCGGCGGGGTGTTGCTGCGGGTGATCTTCTCTGTTTGTGTTTTCAGACGAGTTTTATTCTCCTAAACGCGTCGTTCATCACATTTTACAGTTCTCCGACCATCTCTTCTTTACCATTTTCGTACATGAACCATCCCATATGTAAGAAATTGGCCTTAACGCTCAAACCATCTTCGGTTCAATTTCTTGTACGGCGCGCGTCTGTGTTGGTCATGCAGCAGAAAAAGGCAAAATGTTGCCTATATACCGAGCTATGTAGCCAGAGAAATTCCTTCGCCTGATGTTTCTGCCGAAGACACCGTGCATCGATATGTATGCTCGGCGCAGGGCTTGAGAACCTTTCCGCAGATTCTGAGAGGACTTCAGGCGAGGGGAGAAGCGATCCAGAGAGCAAACGCACGAGTGCATTTTATTGATGAATTCCACGAATTTCGACAGTGTCTGTCTTTGTCAGGCACCCTAATAAGTTCGAACTACGCATTGCGTTTTAAAGAAAGGATAAGCCAAGAGGGTTGTCATTACATAAATAAAGTGACAAACTACTAATGTAGGAATAATTATTAATGAATAATTAAAGAGAATCAATTTTAAATCAGTCTTTTTAAAATTACAAATCTTATACTTGTTTGAAATTTCAAACATTTCATCATAATTATTGATTTAAACATCAATTTCATGTTTGTGAATGAAAATCCTTCAAACACAAGTTCAAACACTTAAAGTATTTTGTTTCTTAACATGACCTACCTCTGGCAACAAAGGGATGAATGTACTTTGTCCCAGATGTAATACAATGAGGGGAAAATTCGACGTTTGTGTATAAAAGACGGAAATTGCATCATCCAAATGTGGTAGGAAAAAATCACACATTTCAAACGATTGAAGTCATGAATTCATGGATATACAATTTGACGGGGCGTTTCAGATGGGATGACCAAAAAATTGCCCTCAAGCACGCTCAGAAATGTCTCACGAGTGACGCAAAATGATGCAATTCTCTTGCAATTTCCATGCGTGAAATGTGACATGGGGAAAATCTCGTGAAATAACAACAATCCAGCAGACGCTTTCTCCCGTCAATGGGAAAAAACATTGTGTCACAGCAGCAAAAAGTCGTCTGCACAATAACTATGTTTACAAATTACTCTATTACTGTGCATATGAACATATCATGCAAATTGGGATTTATGTTAACACAATAAGTTCAGTGAGACACGAAATAGAGCTATTTGTGGCATGTTTACTGTATTCATTCACGGTATAAATTTCAATTGAATCTCTTCCCACTTTTAAATGACATCCTATTGGACGCTGTAAAAATAGATTGGTCGAGATGAAAAATTTCAAAATGCAAATTGTCATTGATTGCATTTCAGCTATTTCCTCTCATTCACTGTGAGAGCCATGACTTGACAATAATTTTCTACCATGAATTTATCGCTCCAATTTGATTGTAAAATACCATCAATTGGCAATTAACAGAGCAGTTTTAATCAGCCTCCACGCGCAATTGTACACCTCATTGGTGCCTATTTGCCATATGTCACATGACTCCCATAATTCGTGTGTCATGCATTCTGCGTTAATTCAATTACAGGATGGGAAATAAATTGGCGGGTTGTCGGCTGTTGACCAGGCCAATTGACTTCTTTTGCATCTTGCCACAATTGGGAGATGGACGCAAGCAGTGGAGCCGAGTGGGTGGCTTGATTGTGAGAATTTGGCACTTTTTATTGAACAGCGCATCAACATTTTGGTGTCTTGTGATCCTCCATCGCGTCTCATTGTGCCTTCCATTGATCAATTCTGAACAGTCATTGGGGAGTCTGAAGAACAGAGTTGATCTTAGAGTTGATCTTCACCGCAAGTTGGCATTTTTCTCACATCTCTCAGCGATTTTGACACAAAAGCATCATCGTGTGTTTCTCATGCTGATCACGACGAGGGAGAAATGCTTTACCTTGGAAATGAAAAGAATTTCTCGGAAACCTACAAGGTCTCTGAGAATTTCATTATGACTAACCCCTTTTGACTTGTCTCTCCTTTCTCTTTCCCATCCTTCCCCAATACAAAGGCACTCCTGATCATTAAACATTCTGATTGAATTTATTGGTCGTCACAGAGGGTAATAATTGATATTCATTGCATCATATGCGCACTTTGCACGGCGGCCAAAAGTTGATGAGATGCAGAGGCGCTTCATGACCAAATTTGCATTCTCAATCACTGGGCGATGGTGTGTTGGTAAGAACAGCCATCTTGTTACATAAAAGACACCCAGAGAACGAGAATACCAAAAAGAAGTAAGCAGAGTTCTAGGGTCGTCGCACTTCTTTGACCTCTACGTCTTGATCTCATATGTGTTGCCTGTGTCTGCACTTCTGTCCACCGCTCTCGCGAGGTGAGTCCAACACGGGAGTTCTTGCACACAGGCAAACATCACTCTGCGGTGATGCATATATTTGGCTAGAAAAATATATAATACTTAAGCTAATTTTGTGGATTTTTCAGCAATATCCACTGTGTCGATGTTTTCATTTTCCGCCTGCTGAATCATTATGGAATTCTCAGGATTGTCTTCACTGTGTCGACGCAATTCAACAATCTCTTCCTCCTCATCCACTTCCTCAGCCACAGCCTCGCCACTGAGTTCCGTCACGAGGGACGAAAGCAGCTCCCGGAACACCGGAGGATCCAGATTCTTCGCGATGTAGTAGAGAAACAACCAATCCGAGAAGGTGAGACTCTTCCTAATCACCACCATGTCGTGCGGATGCAATCGTCCCGGGCACGCCATTGAGAAGACGAAGCCATTGAATTTTGTGGACCTGTCGAAGATACGAATAAATTATTGAGAACTTCTATCGGCCAGTGACTAATCTCATGAGTGACACCTTGAGTGGAGGATCAGCGTTAAGAAACGCCAGGTGAATGAGAAGAGCGATACAACCATCAGAATGATAAACCAAAACCAGAGGAAGGTGTATATCTTCTCATTCATGACATTAAGTGCCATGACGCAGAGGGCATCGTGCTTCTGGATGGATCCTGAGGCGCCGTACTTGTAGAAGTGGCACTTGGTCACCTTCGGAAAGACCACATCCAGGGGATCCATGGGGCCCTGCAATCACCATTAAATGGGCATTTCATTAGCTCTTTCAGTAGCCACAAACAGCGAGGGGAGACCAACTAGCCAACGTGAGAGGAAGCCAGCTTAAGTAAAGCGTAATAGCTTAGGCACTGATTAATGACTCAAAAATTGTAAAAAATGATTCAAAAACCAGTGCTTTCGCGTGCAAAAAATCGCATATCTCATAACGTAATAAACTTGAATTTGCAAGGTCAACTAAATCAATCATTTCCGTTTATAGATGATAAAGAATTTCGCGAAACTCGCCATTCAATTCGCGGTTGTGCTTTTAATTTTCTCAGAAAACACTATTGAGTGTTAGTATTGCTAATCATATTTTACGAGCGTCATGATTCACAATGCACTGTACAATTGAAAAAAAAATTGCATCAGACGTTTATCGTCTAAATACTCCTCAATTTCAATGCAATTTTCTTTTTCGATAACACCACCGTGGGAAAGTCTATGTTACAATTTTCAACACGTGCACATTATGTATCAATGATTTCGGAATGTAGGAAAATCTTGTATATAGATGGGAAAATGTGCTTTACCTCAAAATTACCTTGGATGAAATCAATCCCGAGTGTCAGGAATTGACCATTGAGGAAGACATTGACGTAATGGATCTGCAGAATGAGGTTTGCGAAGCAGAGGAATTCGCAGAAGATCAGTCTTGGTGCCCACCAGCGATTAACTCGGAGATGTCGCAGAAAGTCCATCTTAATTATCGCCACTCTCTCGGCGATGGTTTTCCTGCACCTGAGCGTCTGATTGGGGGTGATTTGGACGTCATTCTGGCACTTGATGTGCCAAGAGAGACTGGTCATTTGCAAGCCATACACCAGCACCTTAATCCTCCCTTTCTCCCAACTCCTCCACAGCAAGTGCGGCATGTAAAACATGAGAGCCTGGCCGAAGAGGACGAACGGCACCCACTGATAGTAGGCATGGAACTTCTTTTCGTCATCATCGTACACAGGACCAATGCCGGGGTGTGGAATGTTGCCACGCTCGAGCATTGACTCGTTGAGATGTCTCACCTGCGAGATGAGATCTTGTCAACAAGGTGTAAATCACAGGGGAGATAGGCCTCTCCCCAGACTCGCATTGCCCGATAATTACTCACAATTGTAAAGGTCGTGGTGAAGAAGCAGAAGGTGTTGATCACATGCTCAGGTATGGTCGGGGCTCCCCCTGTCATGCATCTTATGTGCTCTCCAATGTATTGTCTAATGGGGGAACAAGCAGAATTCAATTAACCGGACACTCTGGCATTGGCCGAGCGAAAGCCACCCGGGAGATGTTTTCACCAATTAACAGCACACCAATTCTCTCACATTTCTCACATTTTTCTCACCTCGATGTCACCAGCACAGTGCAGACGAGTAGGATGATAAAAGTCGCCCGATAGTGAAATTTGAATGCCAAATTGTCGATTGAATAGACTTTGGACTTGAATTTGAGCTGAGTGGCGATCCCTTCGAACGACTTCAGCATTTTCCCTCCAAATCACTTGCGATCCTATTGACACCACTGTTGCCACTATACTTATTCACAAAATGTAGCCATTCAATTGTCACACATTGATTGCGTTTGCACCTTTATCAGGTGCCTTCTCACAATTTTCCAGTGATAAAGAATGGCTCACATCACCTTGTATGGATTGTGAGACATTTTACCAACACTCAATTTTTTGTCCAAATATCGAGCCCTATTGGCGACAACGATTGGCGCTGAAATAAGCAGACAATGCCTTTGATATCTCGTTAGCGAAATGGCCATAACTAAAATATTAGCACCGAAGCGGCTGTAATATCAGCAAAGAAGTCAAAATATACCCCATACTAAAGGCGAGTCAAGAGAAATGTTCTGGATCCAAAGCAATCCGTCAAACATGATAAGCTTATAGATATTGCGACATTCCCGGGTGATTCGGAACTTCTTCTGAGACCCAGAAATATGTGTGTTGTGTAACTCAACCCTAAAAAGAGCCTTGTGTGCACAAAACATCATTACAAAGCCTTATCTTATCGGGAATGTCTTCATTTTTTCACTCGCTAGTGGATCTTTTCAGCAAGATAACAATGTCTCACGACACTGAATCTCTTCGGTTGGCTCAGATGGCAAGAATAGAAGTTAAACAATTAAAATGGTATCTATATCGTCACTGTGGCGTCACGGCGTGATACCGAAGACGTTGTTATCAAGTGGAAAATCATCCACATTTCTCATCCTGCATTTCGGTTTCACTCAGCCCCAAAACACACAGCGAGCGTGTGTAATTTATTGTGCGGCTGATACTGCGCCTTATCAGTTTGTACAAGGTAATAATATTCCGTGTTAGCGCCTTCGTGATTGCATTTGATTCACATTTTTGGTGTGATTGTCGTGTTAATTTGGCCCGACCGATGGGAGGGTGGAATGTGTGATTTTTCAATCAGCGACATGTTAATTTTCTCTCTATTTTCGACTATCCAATGCCGATAGTGTCGAAAGCTTTCCAATTTTACTGATTACCTGTGCTTCTGTCTCACTTTACACCTCGCCCAGGAATTTTTGATCATCTTCTCTTTTTCTGATAGTTGCGTTAATTGGCAAGCAAAACAATTGCGTGGAAAAAAGGGAAAATATGACTGACAAATGCCAATTTGTCTAATTGGGCAATATTATACACCCAAAGATGTTGCAAGATAGTGGCGATGAGGGAGAAAAAGAAGAGAAATGTCGACAATGGTTGGAGAGGATCTTCTGCAGATCTTTGCCAAGAAAAAAAAGCCTCTCCCAAATTCAAATCACGTCCATTTTTCATTATATAGAATATTTTGGCATTAGTCATGCAGAAAGAGTTTCTTGGTGAATGTCGGCGAAGATTTTTATAAAATATACAACATTCGGAGTGACGTGGAAAAAGGCACTCTCTTCGGTGGACGATTGAAGGCACAAGAGAGCAAAGAAGTGAAGAAAAAACGCGACCAAAAGCTTTTTTGGCATCCAAAAACGATCAAAAGATTTAAATAATGTTCCCATAAATTTAGATTCGCAAAAATACCAGAAAGAGAGCAAAGAATAACACTACGAGAGGAGAATGAAAACGACCCGAGAGAGAGGAGAGACTTTTCTTGGTCTGGGTGGATTTTTAGTGACTCGGCATGGATGTGGTATTATTTTTGCAAGAGCGGCAACTCGTGTTTCATATACACATATTGATTTACGGGCAAGTTTGACGTGGAATTTGCAGAGTTTTGCTCATGAGACAACCACTCTTGGACATGTTTGAGAAAGACAGTGTGAAAGGAAGAGATGGAGCGAAGGAGAGGTAAAAATTCCACAATTATTACTGGATCTACCTTTGTGCACAACTTTTGTGCGAGAAAGCAGTTGTGTAATCCTTCGGGTTTCTCGCTTTTTCCCTCTTGGAAATTGTCTTGAGTGTGATCTTGGAAACTCTGATCTGAGAGTCATGAAGATATTTTCTGGGTCAATCAAGTAGGTAATTCTTTGAGAGGTGAAGTAATCACAGCAGCAAATCAGGCACTATGCAAATGGCTTTTGCACTCATCCTGATTTTCTTCACACGCTCGAGCGAAACTGTGAAGGCGTAAGATAAAAGTGTATGCAAGAAATCGGCACGGGGAGATCAATTAATCGATTGGCTGTGATCGTATACTTGGCGAATGAAGCGGACGCCGTGTGGCCGGTGGCATTGCATAATCACTCTCGGCATTTCAGAACAAATCCTCTGTGATAAACGCTAATATGCAATTCTGTATGCTAGAAAACGTGACAACATGACGACCGCGTTACAGACTGTTGGCGTCCAAGGTTGAATTCATTGCATAAATCTCCGGTGGACAATTGATCAAGCTGGATGGAGAGCACATAGCATTCATTTGTCAAGGCGTCACACATTAATTAAATCCTCCAAATCCCATGCTGCATTAATTCCATCAAGTCAGCTCTCTTGTGGCTCGGGAAGGAACTCTGGTCGAGAAAATTTAATTATCTTGTCAGCAAATTGGTGTTGAATTTGATGCCTCGCGCTTTATTCAAATCGCATGCATAATTTTTTCTCCGCTCACCCTAGAAGCAATATTTTCTCATTGGATTCAATTCCAGCGTCTATCCACTCCCGCACTCAGCTTGACTGGAATTATTAATTGACCACTTATTCATCCCCACCTCGACAGTGACCTTTTCAACGTGTTTCGGTTTAATAGGATGTTTCGCCATTCAGTTGGGAGCTTTATTGAGAAAGGGCTTTTCATGTGCGATGTGTTTATGAGAGGAAAAGCAATCAACACGCTGATGAATTGCAACGCTTGCACAGCAATGAAAACACTCTAAAGACTCTAATATGCGCCTGTGCATTTAGCGGTTGTTTTTTAATGGCAAACATACGCGATGCTCCAGCATTGCATGAAAATTTAGGGAATAATGGGAATAATTGAAATCAAGAGGTTTGCAAAATGTTCACCTAGAAAAAAATCCAGTCAATCGCAATTTTCTTATAACATCTGGACAACATTTGGATCAAGTTTCTTTTGCAAGATTCTTTTTTTCATATTTGTCTAATCCATAAAGACTAGTTTAAATAAAAAACATCCATGCATTGAAGGTTAAGCAACATTAGTTCTCATGAGACTTAATGCCCAATTATGGAATTCTGAGAAAAGCCATAAGAATGTGCTTAATCACGCTGCAAGTCATCAAATTGACGAACGTTAGATATTCTCAGGCTGCAGACTTCCTGGCAAAGATTCCACTCATTCTCGGGATGTTTCGGAAATCTGGAAAGCCTGACTTTTCTTCCTTCTGCGCAGCGTAGCCAGTAATTTTGCATACACACGATAGGGATGATGGAGATTCTTCGCATTTCCGCTCAATGGAGGCGAGAGAGCCGAGATAAAAAGGCCAGCGCGACTTGAGACACGACCGCGACTCAGTGCAGACCCAATTCCGGCCAAAGTGACTAAGAATCGCGCACTTTGGCGTCTCCTCTTGGTGTCCAGCGATGAATTCCGAGGAATGTCGCCGTGATTCATGGGCGAGCAGTGGTGTAACCGTTGAGAATAATGCGCGCTGCTCTCGGGGGCCATTCTTCTCCGCCTCACGCTGCACCGCTGAGGTTCACGCAAAGGTGAGTCCGCTCCGGGTGAACAAGCCATCCAAAGGCGGCTCGCTTTCGGATATGTGCCCAAGCAAATCCCTCTCACCATTATTGACATGCTGTGTCTCTCTGGGCGACTCGGCCATGGGAGCGACGAGGAGGGCCGCCGCACAAGAGACCACAGCGCGCGAGTGTGTTGGCAGTGTGTTCAGCTGTGTGTGCCCACATTGACGGGATGATGTACACGGAGTCAGTGTGCTGTGCAGCAACAAAGTGGGGTATCGCTCCGATTGTACACGGAAAGTCTGTCCAGTGTTGGTTCGTGTACCACAGCGATCGCATCGGATTGCACGCCGTCGGGAGTACTGTGTTGCTTTCACACTTGTTTCCCGTGGAATTCCTCCTATGTTCTTTGTTATTAAATAAGTTTCGCGTGTGCTTGGATGTGTGCCGTTTAGCCTCTTCAAAGTGATTAGCAAGAAAGTGAGTTTTCACCCTTCGCTGGGCTCCCGTTTCCCCGCAGCTCGAAGCGACGGCATTGCGGCCGCGAAGAGGGAAAACTTGGGGCCACCCTTGCAATCCGGCCTCAGAAAGATTGTTTTTTCCTCCGCTCGAGCGAGAGGGAGATGGGACTCCAGGGCTGCTGCCACACACAGTTCTTGCATTTGGGATTGAGAGCCAACACCAAACGAATCTCTCTCTCTCTCTTTCTCTTGTAGTTGTTCATTTTGACTCGAGCGTTGGAAAAGTGTTGAGCCGCCGCCGTCATGTTTGATGTGTTTGGCTCCGTGAAGGGGCTCCTGAAGCTCGACAGTGTCTGCATTGACAACAATGTCTTCCGTATGCACTACAAAGGGACTGTTATCATCCTCATTGCCTTCTCCCTTCTCGTCACGTCGCGCCAGTACATCGGCGACCCCATTGACTGCATCGTGGACGAGATCCCGCTCAATGTGATGGACACGTACTGCTGGATCTACTCCACGTTCACGATACCCAACCGGCTGACGGGGGTGGCCGGCAAGGACATGGTGCAGCCGGGCGTGGCGAGTCACGTGGACGGCGAGGACGACGTGAAGTACCACAAGTACTACCAGTGGGTGTGCTTTGTGCTGTTCTTCCAGGCCATCCTCTTCTACATTCCGCGCTACCTGTGGAAGACCTGGGAGGGTGGTCGCATCAAGATGCTCGTGATGGACCTCAATGCGCCCATCGTCAATTTCGACTGCAAGGAGGATCGCAAGAAGATCCTCGTGGACTACTTCGCCGACAATATCAATCGACACAACTTCTACGCGTATCGCTTCTTCATCTGCGAGTTCCTCAATCTGGCCAACGTGTTCGGCCAGATCTTCTTCATGGACTTCTTCCTGGACGGCGAATTCTCCACCTACGGCAGCGACGTGGTGCGCTTCACGGAGATGGAGCCCGAGGAGCGGCGCGACCCAATGGCGAGAGTGTTCCCCAAAGTCACCAAGTGCACCTTCCACAAGTACGGTCCATCGGGGAGTGTACAGAAGTTCGACGGACTCTGCGTGCTGCCGCTGAACATTGTGAATGAGAAAATCTACGTGTTCCTCTGGTTCTGGTTCATCGGTCTCACTGTCCTCACTGCCCTCTCCGTGGCCTTCCGCATCGCCGTGATCTTCGTACCTAAGATTAGGCTGTACCTGCTCAGGGCGCGCTCCAAGCTGTCGGCACACCAGGATGTGGAGAACATATCAAAGAAGTGCCAAATCGGTGACTGGTTTGTGCTCTACCAGCTCGGCAAAAATATCGATCCACTCATCTACAAGGAAGTCATCTCCGACCTAGCACTTAAACTGGACGGTAAGGAAGTAGTTTAGCGCCTAGGGGAAATTTACTAGGATTTTTTTTTGTAATTGTCAAGTAAAACTTTTTGTTTCATCGCGAAAGAAAAAGCAAACTCTCAAAAGCATATGTGACAGCAATAGACGGTAGGAAGACGATATATCGTGTTTATCCTGAATTATACAGGCTGGCAAGAGTGCTGGGGATTTTTTTTTTTGAGTTTAGCGACGTTAGAATTTCAGATGCATTTTAGACGTGCGTTCCTGGGTATACATTGAGTGCCTGCTTATTTACTTCGAAACTCCACCACTACACTCAATAGAAAAATTCCATGAATGATGCTAATGTGCAGGGTGATTCATATATGGTGAAGCGTTCACTGGCAGAGTGCATTTTCCCCACTATTTACTATACCTTTGCTCACTTGCGCCATCGTAAAATCGTTCACACGCTCTTTGCGCGTCAACACACCCAAACGCAATAGAACACACGCATGCACCCCAAACACAAACACACGCACTCTACAACACACTAACACAGCCACCGACAAATTGGTCTCCCTCGAAATGGCTTTTCATTTCTTCAGTGACGATGACGATGATGGTTCTATGCGATGTTGCCACACAAACTCGCGATGCTTCTTGACACAATGAACCAGCAACAATTTATGCCCAGGGACGGCGGAGTTTCAAATATCGTTCATTTTACTGAAAAAAAATTATACGTAAAGAAAAACGCACACAAACTGCAACTGAAGAGACAAACTTTAGGGAATAGAATTTATGAATTACGGAATTGAAAAGCAACTAAAAACCACTGGGCAGCTCCTGAGTTTTATGCCCCAGACTAACCCCATAATGTCAATTTGCCATGTTGTTTTCTCTATTTTCCGAAACATCCATATTCAATTAAACTATATACGGATCGCGCAGTAAATTATTGTATTTCTTTCTTTTTATTGTAAGAAGCATGTTCATTGAGAAAATTCACACGTTTTTCTCTTCTCAGAATCTCTATTCGACGAGAGGCATAAGAGAGAACTAAAGCTTGCAAGAGAGGGAATTGATTTTGATTTGTAGGGAGGATCTTTCTAAAATAAATAAAATTAATTTTAATTTTATTAAATTATATAATATCTAAAAAGCAAGGAAGAAAAAAAAGACCACGAGAGTAACTAAATTATTATTTAAATTATTTTTATGTGTGACAGATTCTGGTGAGAAATGCTGCGACACGCTGTATTTTTGGTTTTTTTTCTTCAAAAATTCAATTTAGGTCTTATATTTACTGAGAAAAAAAAGAATTGTGTTCTTCAAACTGAAAGTAGAGCCAATGTTGCAGCATTTCTCGCACAAATCTGTTTATTTCACTGAGCGAAAAGACTCATTCTCACTGGAAATTGTGCATTCTCAATATTTTTCTTTGGGGAACCTCTTAATTCTTCTGTATACGCCTAGGATATTAGTGAGAATTGACCGTTACATTCCATTTTTCCCACGCGCAAGACAATAAATGGAAATTTATCGTAGAATTTCGTACAAGTGGTATACATGAATTTAGGTAGGAAACGACGATACAGAATGGAAGATTCACACACAATAGGAGAGTTTTGGTTGGCAGTTGAAGAATAGAGAGAAACAGACAAAAAGTACAAAAATTGAAAAAAATGTTTATGCAAACACAATTCGGAAAAAAAGAAACAATCAAGAGACTTCATTTGAATGCGACTTTTTTCCCTATAAAGGTGAACCTTTTTTTATTTTTGCTTCATTCGAGAAGTTCATAGACCGAAATAAAATTGTGATTTTTGAGTGATGATGAAATCTGTGCCTTCTGCCCTCCGAAACGTGCACATTGTGAAGATCACCATTGAGAATAATTAACAGGCGTTTTTTCTGGAGACATTATTGAAAAGGATAAATAAAAAAACAGACGTGAAAACCCATTTTCGAATACTAGCTTATAAGATTTCTAATATCTTTGCGTTTGTGTATTTTTATTTTCGAGAAAAATGATATCAACACAAAACAAGTCATTTTGCACATTTTGTCTTTATCTAAAATACTTTCTCACTGTTTTAAGTGCAAAAGTCAACACCTTTCTACGGATGTTGAGTCACCTTTTATAACTTCCTTCCATTTATTACCTTTAATACAAGAAAAAATGAGAAAATTATATAATGAAGAGAAATCAATATAGATAAATATTTTTGCCATAATTAAACATACATTATACATAGTTTGTATAGATTTTATTTACACTTTACTGTATGACGTGGAGAATGAAGAAAAAAAAATGAAAGTCTAATTTTGCGAAAAAAAACGGGGCAAATTCTGAAAGATAAAAGTACATTTATTCCTACTTAGAGAGATTTTTGTTGTCTTTGTTGTTGTTCGTCTTGATAACAGGAGAGACAAGAGATAATCTTCGAAATTTATCACATTCTACGTTTGACACTGTTCCAAAAGTGAAAAGACACATTTTTTACTGGTACAAAAACACATTTTCTCTCGGGAAGCATTGAAAGTTTGCTGTATTCTTGGAGGTGGTAAAATTAAATGCAACCACTGAGAACAAACGCACTCTCTCATGAACTTAAATGAAGCGAAATTGAGTCAATTAGCACAAGAGAGAGGGAGAGAGATCGAGAAAATGGCAAAAGAATGAGAAAAGAATACTCAAAGTGCAATTAATCACATATCTTTCAATGACCCACATTTTGGGGACAGATATTGAGGCATATTTTCTTCTTCCATACTTGGATAGAGTGTCAAAACGGACTGAATGAAATGGAATTTTTCTCAAATTGAAAAAAAAATTATATGAAACTGTAAAAGACGATGAGCTACTGAAAAAGTGTTTAAGACGATATAGTGAAAAGATGAAATGAAGTAAAGAGTTGTGATCGTAGAAATATCTTTTTTTTTAATATTTGTTAAGACATTAAACTAGTGTATTTTCTAAGGATAAACTATTTTTCTATATACACACATCTTTTTTATTGTATAAGTGTGAAGAAGCGACGGAGCGAAAATTGTGTATTTTATTAGCCAGGAGAACACTAAACCCATAAAGATTGTAATAGTGAGTAAAAATTCTTGTTTTAAAGCCCAAGAATTTGTGGTGTCAGATTGGATTGTCCATTTAAACATATTTCTACTGTCTTTCATTCTTTTCCCCCCTTTTACATGGCTAATTAATTAATAAATCGACGAAGGAAGGAAGCGAGAGAGTAACATTTTTTATGATAATCATTGAATATTCTTACACATTTTTACATTTAGTGAGATGAATGAAATAAAAGACCTCGAAATTGAATTGAAAGATCTCCTTTATTTGTATGATTGCCCTTCTGCGCCTCACTAATGTGGCCAAAGATGCCACATCGTTGTCCAACAGGAAGACTCAATTGAGTCACAAGTGTCGTCATTCTATGTGGTTTTATTGAGAATTCAAATGACACGCGATAAACGACCATTCAATGATAATGCTGTGGAAGATACGCGCTCGAGGAAGACAATTTTAGGCGCTCGCAGACACACGACGAAAGGTTTCATCAGAAACTGTCTCGGTGAAAAGAGAATTGTGATGCAAATTTCCGCGAACGAATCACTAATAAAATTTAAATGCCTCTTGGACGATCAGCTGATGGGTTTTGAGTCATCTATTCATCTGAATTTTCATGATCAACACTTTCATTCTCCAGCAACGATCAAAAACAACAGCAGAGTTTGTTTATGTCGCTATCAATTTACGCTCAAGGGCTGATAACGTTTGCGCAACTTTGCAAAAAAAACGTCATTTGCTCTTGGCTCGTAAAGTTCATTTATTGTTTCAGTTAATTTAAACACATTTCTAATGTATATTTGGTCATTAAACAATGCCATATTTTCTTCTTGAGTAATTGCTATTTCACATGAAGAATAGTTCCTATAGAAACGTGGATCATTGTCCCAGAAATTTCCTAAGAAAGACATCTCACAAGACTCTGATGTCTTTCCAGAGGCAGGCGAGCCTCTCGTAAAATAGATGAAAGAAAAAAAGCATCGCCCACGAAGGTAATAAATTCAAAATCGTGCTGGATAATTGAAACAAACACCCATCTTTTTGAGAGTCTCAATCGAGAAGAACCGAGAGAGAATCTCTTTCTCAAGACAATTCCCTCATCGAGAGACACGAATTTTCATTTCATTTTCAGCCTCGCGAGTGAAATAAACGGTGGCCTATTAATTAAAAGTGCTCAATTAATGGTAATTTGAGACAATTAGACTCCGCAGCTTCTTGTGGCCTGCAAGTCGTTAGCACTCTGAGACATGGAGGCCAAGAAAGCGCTCGATTACTATCTTAACTCGAAATCACGCACTTCAGAGGCGAAGCCGTGAGACATGAGAGCAACGAGACCAACGAGACATTTGATAGTAGGCATTTTCAGAAGGTAGGTGTTGTCCCGCTGTCATTATGTATGCAGAAATCCGCTGGACTCGCGTTGGCTTCGCGAAGACTTCCAACCAGCGCCGTGACTCGGCTAGAAATTAATTATGTAAAATCCTAACTGCTCAGCATTCACGGGCTTTTGTCAGTTAGCGCGAGTGAGGAGAGAATTTGTGGTAAGAGCGATTGGGTGACACTGTAAATTTCGAGACATTTATACATCGCGGCGTCTCTTGTTTATCTAATCACTCTCGAAAGCTATTGAGAAAAGAAGCGTGGAATTACGTAAAAGTGAGCCTTCTATTGATACAACATGACACAGAATTTACTTTGAACATCCACACAAACCATGTTCGACTTGCCAAACTTCTCACAATTGGTGTCTCTCTGGATCTTTCAGAGAAATACCATAAATAATCTCCGGCCTCTTCGACCATGAATTTTTATCAGAAGCATGGAACAAATATTTGTAATGTCTCAAAAGAGTAATCCCTTGTGCATGATATGATCAGCAGAGAAGTCTCCGTGGTTCTTCAGAGGATGCAGAAATGCATGATTTATTGATTTCTAGTTCCGTACGCAACACTAAGAAGAAAAATGTGGAACTATGAAATGTAAATGAATTTAATTTGCATACAGTGAGTAAATACATAAAAGATGCTTATCTCTGATGCTTATTTAAATGTACAGTGTACAGATTTATCCAATTTATCCTGTGAAATTACACCGTCAATCTAAACTATTTTTACGAGCGGTTTTGAATAAGATCTGAATATTAATCCTTTTATGAAGGACATAAAAGTCATGCGGAGACAAAGAGACACAATAATAATGAAATCACCTTTTCTAGCAGTAAACTTCTCTAAAGTGTTTTACAATCTATAAAAGCCAATTCTCAAACACTCAAGCATGACACTCCAAATATGCGTTTATGATTTTCTGGACAGAGAAAAAACAGCACACACTGGAGAATATCCTATTCATTGAGCTCAATCTGCGGCTGTAGCACGAAATGCGATGATCTTTGGCAGCTTTCAGGGCAACAACAAAAAATGCTGCAACATTTTTATAAAGATTATCATCATCCGCGATGATTAGCGCAATTCACAGCGAAGGCATTGGAGTGTCTAAATTCAATTACCACATGATTATGAGTGTGTTCTATTTGCACATGACGCAACAGCAAAAATATATATATGTGAAAATAATTGAAACTGATACTGAAAATCACATGCTTTCAATTGCTTCCTTAATTATTTCCCCCCGATATTCACCCCCGTGACCTCTAACACTGGCTTTTTGCGTGTGGCAAAATTAATTTTTGCAGTTCCCACTTTACAGTCTGGCTGGCGAGGGCTCTTAATTGTCTGGAATAGATTGAGTAGCGAGATCAATCCACAACTTTCCGCATTGATCTGAGAAATTCTACACCGCGAAGCCTTGCAATGCAGAGAAAGCCAAAATGCCTTTCAGATGGGGTTTTAGTGCAAAAACCACATTCACGGCTTAGGAGAAAAGTGATGCAATTGTTGCAAAACTTATGATTTACCGCAAGATAATGCTTCTTTTGTCGGTTTTCTTCTAATGCAGGAAAATTACGAAATGCTTTATCGCATTCTATATTCTGTGTAGTAATTTTTACGTCAAAGAATTTTGAAAAGATAGTTTTTTCTTTAATAGCGGAGATATAAAACTTGTTATCTCTCTATCTCTCACATCTTTATAGAATTTACTATCAATTTAATGGAATTTTCACAGTTTTTTCTCTCTCTCAACATTTATGTTCTTGTATCACCACCAATTAACATTGCTGGCAGACTGACGAGCACCAATTTCGGCCTCAAAGTGCACCTTTGATGCCCATAAAACACACATTAAACTGATGGACCGTCGATTTCTCAATCTGCCGGCTTAATGAAGCCACGAATTCACCAAAAAGAGGAACACCTTGAGTGCTCGCGAGTGGAGAAAATTAGCACGGGACTTCATTCAGAGGCTCATTTACCATGCTAATTGGGCACAGTGACAAAACTTAGTCTAGTAGAACGAGATTTTCTTGCAATTTACCAAATGAGTTCGTAGACCAATTTCCATCCATAAATACACAGCTTTTATGGGTGGCCGATTTTTGGATGGCAAAAAAGAGAACATCTTTTTGTCGTGGGCTATTTATGGATCAATTAGCATCACCATAAATGCTTCATACTTGAGAATTTTTTACCCAAACATCATGCCGAATTGCATACATTTATTTTGTAATACTTATCGCAATTTGCATTGTTGATTGTTTGCCAGAGCTTTTAGCTTCTTATGTTAGTTCCTCTTTTTTTCACTTTCAAAGACCCCAATTGACAGTGCTTTTGTAGGTCGATTTGCGCGCTCTTTGCACAGCGCGCGGACACCTAGTTCGGGCCATGGTGTGTCATTATGGAGTCACGAGAGAGTTTCCCAAGCATTTTTGCAAATACTTTTCGCACCGGGTAATTTATCGTATTTGCCGGATTGATTTATTGGTTGATCTGTGTCTCCAGCAACGATTCTCTTCTGGCTGTTCGTTTTGTGGATCCTCATCTCGACCCGCAACAGTGAGAGGCCCGGATAGGTGCGAAGAGTGTGAAGGGAAGTGAGGCAGAAGAGATGCTGAGTGAGATGTCCGGAGTGTGAGTGAGGCTCAAAATGGAATTCCTCATTGCGTAATCCCGGTAGCTAGAAGGCCCAAGCCGATGAGGCCTCTCAAGCCAACTCCGGCCACTGCCTCAGCATCCCACGTCAAAGGGTGGAAGAGGCACACTCGCATCCTCTCTGTAATTTCCCAACATTTCGCAATTCGGTGAGTCATTTTTCTCTGGTCAAATTGGCAACCAGCAAGCCCAGCTCCACGTCATCCATCTCTTTGTCTTAATTTTCTCAAATCACCTCCGCCAGTGTGTTCGCTACCACTCTCTGCGGCCCCAACACACTCACCTTTGAGTACACCGGCCAGGCCATTGTGTACGCGCCTCACTCGGGCCCTCGCCATCGTCTCTTCATCTCTTTGTTTTATTGCTTGCTCTTCGATTTTTATGAAGCCGAACAAAAATGTCGACGCGGGAACCAGTTCTGTGGCTGCCGCGGACTTGCCTTCCTCCCCGGCTCGCCGTCCGTCGGGCCGCAGAGCTCGAGGAATTCTTCGCGTCTCCACACGATTACATAGTTGCACCAGAAACTCTCCTTCTCGTTTAATTCTCCGCGATTGCGCTTCGGATCCGCAGCGCGGCAGGTTCATCAGTCACAATTCTGATGCTGCGTTCTTAGACTTTGTACTAAGAAATACTTGGTGATATAAATCTGTTTGCAATGATTCTAAAGCATTTTCTGCACAATCATAATTCCTATAATTTCGTATGAATCACTAAATTATGCTTGTTTCTGAGTTTTATTCTAAATGCTATGAATACATTTGGGGAATTTTGTCTCTCTGCAGATAATGCTTGTCTTTGACGAATGCAAAATTTGCGAATTTTTATCTGCATTTTGCAGAATTCGGTAAATCCCAGCCAACCATTGTTGTGTTCATAAATAGAAAAGTATGATAGGATGTAGATTAACTTCGTCATTAAGTCACAAGTCTCAAACTGACCATTATCACAACGACTTTTGCATACTCTGAACTTTTCTTAATTAACGTAAACATCTGATGGCATTGCCAACTGGTGGATTCCTTGAAAATCCCACCATCGCAAAACAGGTGATCTGGGGGCGAGGATCTATCGATTGAGATTTGTGAACCCTTGAGCATTGTTCTCGACGAGGTGCGATCTGTGTCTGAGATCTCACAGAGCGAGCACACAATGGCCCACACAGCAACAATCTCTCGCTGTTTCTACGTGCACAACCTGAAATTCCTCTCCTGTGAAGTCAAAGAGGAGAGACCATTTAGTGGCTCTTCATTCCACCACTTTATCTCTCCCTCGCTCCACGCCAAAGCGGAGCAGCACAACACCTCCAGCGGATTTGGGCTGGGAGAGGCAAAAAGAAAATGTCCCTTGCACTCTCCTCCATTCCCATCTTCGTTGTCCCAATCTCGTTGTGTCCATTATAAATCTCTCGCAGAGGCACCACCCGTGTTACACGATACCTTTCTTGGCTCCCGAAGCATCTCTTCGAATTTTACGCTGCAATTTATTCTTTCGTCTTTTACCCCATTCTCCAACCGCAAAGCCCAGCACAAAGTCACAAGCGCGCTGCTCACTTGTCGTGTCGCTTTTTGTGGAAAAGCACCCAGAATTCCAATGAGAAAGTTTCGGCAATTGCTTAATCGATCGAGTTGAGTTCTGCGTCGTGCAGCATCGACTCTGGCGGAAACCTGTTTGGGCATGAGTGCAAGAAGAAAAACGGCTCAGCGCGAATCAGCTGCAAGTGTCACCAATTCTCGCCATACATGGACTAATGACTGCACACAAATAATATTTCGCCATATGGAGAGACACAAAGTGGTGATCCTTGAACTAAAATAATGCCTCAAACACTCGAAGAAAGAGTGATTAAAGACAAATTGCATTCTCATGAAATATTATGTCTCTAAGCACACTACGACCACTCATAAATCACTCACTTTTATCTCCATTATTCTCTCCCCCCACACTCTCTCCCATCATCATTGTCGCAGCCCATGTGTAAACCCGCGTGTTTAGATGTCCTAATTTAGCCATTTATTGTATCGAAAAATAGAGATGTTGAAGTTTACGATAAGAATGAGATTTGCTGTGACTTTCAAACTACATCCGAATTTGAAATTTACCTGCCTTCGTCACGTACTTCACGCCCTTGAAGGGCTTATACTTCTCACCGTACATATCCAAGCGGTTCACTTTGAGCCCAGACACCGCCAATTGGGAAATGGTGAACTGCACATTGATGAAGGGATTTGTGTCTATAGATGAACAGCCAGCTTGAACAGCAATCTGCGGGCGAAGCCCAAAATTCAGTGGCACTGAGACACTCTTCAGAAGTCACTCAACAACTCACCGCTCCGCGAATATTTGGCAATTTGGTGATATCGATCCGCCCGACGTCCCAATGGAGGATCTTCGTGACTGGATCGAAGGTGTATTTGCCCTGATTCGCCACGAGAATGCAATTGAGCACGGCTTTTGGCATGCAAATCTCCAGCTTCACGTTCTCCAGAGTGCGTCCGAGGGTGGTTTTCGGCCCCACCGTGAGGTCTAGCTTGCCCTGCTCGCCGTTGCGCAGGATGAGATTGTGACGAATGTAGATGGGAATGGCCACAACGGTCTGCGTGCCGATGTGGTAGGACATGAGGCGGAAGTTGCCGTCTGGTGGGATGAAGGAGAGAATCCTCTCGGACTCCCAGCGCTTGAATCGCACGCACGGATGGAAGGACACGTCGTCAAACAGGCGCGGATTCATGAAGGAGAGTGTTAAGTCGGGCATTCCGCTCAACTTGATGCAGCAGTCAATCTGAAAGTGCAGCAATTCATAAAATTCTTATAGACATTCTGGAATTCATTCGTCTAACTCAATCAATTGCAACAGCATTTATCCTTGAATTGATTCAATATTTTTTTCCAAACATTGTACAGTCGATTGTTTCCCACGCGAAGACAAGAAAAAACATTAAATGCGATCGAGTAGAATTTCTTCAACGATTTGTATGAAACATGAATACCTCCTCTTCGACGTTAGAAGAAAGCCCTGAGGTAAAATGCACTACAAAGAAGACTATGATCTTCTTTCCCTTCTTTCCAAGGATAATACTGAGGTTCTTTCTTGGCCTATGTTAATCACTATCATTAGAATTTGACTGAATATTGGCGAAAATACATAAAACCAGTATTTGAATCGAGCCAAGAGTGCCGAAAAAGAGTAAATAAATCTGGTCAAGATGAACAAGATCAAAGAGATTATCAAGAACGAATTGAAGAGTCTTGAAAAGTGTTTTTTTGCCTATGAAATATATCTAATAAATTTTCAATTGATCTTATCAAACACTGCAAATAAAACACTCTTCGGCAGATATCGCTAAGTACATTCTTCAAAGCATATTTGCCTTGTCAATATCTAATTGTCTGAGAAAATTATCCAAATTCAGCAGAAATCTGAATCCTCTTCTGATAACTGACAAACAAGCCAACAATTTCGCTATCTCTCTGTCGTGTCGACTATTGAATTACTTCACACGAACTTCTTGAGCGTCTGATACTCACATATCCTTGGATTTCCGCAAACACGGTCGATCCGGACTTATCAATGATTGCGTCGACTTCTTCCACGACATCGAAGTACGCCTCGTTGTTGTTGTACTTCACGCCAGTCCGTCTCCAGGGAATGGCGGAGAGCTGCCCGGACGGCAGAGTGCCACTCACGTTGGACTTGCCCGTCACGGTGTTGGCGATTGTCCGGAGGATGTTCGGTGGCTTGATCAGCTCCTTGAGAATGTTGCTCTCCGTCGCGAGTGGATAGCCATTGTCCAGCATCTCGTCCAGCAGCTCGTACACCACCACGTAGTTCTCCTTGATGGTGGTCTCTGTGCACTCGGAGAAGTAGTCATCGAAGATGTCCACGACGCGGTGCAGGAACTCAATCACGAAGAGCGGCGGAAACTCCTGCTTGCACACGGCCAGCAGGTAAACGCCGCCGCGCTGGATGCAGGTGAGATAGTGGTGTGGTGTGGCGATTATGGGGGGAATGTCGTTGGGCTTGGCGCGCAGAATGTCCAGGAAGTAGTCGCAAACGGAGCGAGGAACAACACTCTTCCAGTGCTTCTCCAGGAAAACATCCCTGCAAATATGTCACAGCATTGGAGGCGTTTCCAGAGACCATAGCGCGGGATCTCCTAGCTACTCACCCGCTGGAGTTGATGATGAAGAGACTGTGGATCATTTCACTGGTGAAAATGGGCTGTTCGTCCCGGGAAAATGCAAATAAATGAAGTGCGAAAAGTGCCTCACACGTCACAACAACCTTTCACTCGCCGCAGTTGGCTGCCATGGACTCAGCTGTTTTCCATAGCATGTGTCAAAACTTTTCGTGGTGATAAGCAAAACAGCGCATTTTCCTCAAATTTTCCTTCAACAAGAGTATTTTCCACGTGAGTAGCTCAATTGGCACGTGAGACGTCGGTAGGAAGCAGTATTTGTAGCAGAAATCTTTCAGGCGATGGGGAATAAGGCGGTGAAGCAGCATTTCGAGACTGCCCAGAAGACAGGAGTCCTCAAGATCTCTCAAATGAGGCTCCAGGAGTTCCCGTCGCCCCTGAAGCAGTTCCCCAACGTCCTCAAGACTTTCGACATCTCCGAGAACCGATTCACCTCCCTCCCGCCGGAACTGGGGAAGTTCACCTTGATTAAGAGCCTCAACGTGAGTGGGAATCGAATAGAAGCCCTTCCGGAAGTTCTGGGGCTGCTAGTCAAAATGGAGACACTCAATGCGTGCAACAACATGCTGAAGCACATCTCGCCGGCCCTCAACAAGCTCAGGAACCTCAAGCAGGTGAATCTGAGCAACAATCAACTCACGGAATTCCCCACGATGTTCTGTGGCCTCGAGAACCTCGATGTGCTGGATGTTTCCCGGAACAAAATCACTGCAGTGCCGGCGGAGGTGAAGGAGTTCCACGGGGTGGAGCTGAACTTGAACCAGAACCAAGTGGCGAGCTTGTCGGAAGAGCTGGCGACTTGCAAGCGTCTGAAAACGCTGCGCCTGGAGGAGAATTGCCTCCCGATCGGGGCGATCTCTTCGAGAATCCTGAAGGATTCCGTGATCTGCACTCTGGCCGTGGATGGGAACCTCTTCAGCTCGAAGCAATTCACAGAGCTGGACGGATACGATGCGTATATGGAGCGATACACGGCGGTGAAGAAGAAAATGTTCTAGAAAGAATTGGCAACTTCTGACACATTCTCGAGGATTTTCCTACTTTTTACACCCCGTGACTCATCGAGATGTCTATTTTTTGATAATCACCCTCACTTTTTGCTCCCTCAAGAGATGTTATAATTATTTATTAAATGTCTATTGCAATTAAATGGCATTCACAGACACAAATGCCCTCTGTAATTTGCCCTACTGTGTGTGTGTCCTCGGGAGCCTGGTCAGGAGCCGAGGAGAGTGTCTTCTACAGGGAGGAGTACGTGTGGGACTTGTGCCTCAGCCCCATGAAGCCGTGCTGATAGCCACTCATTTGCGCGCCAACGTTTGAGTTGCAGAAGTTCGCCGGCAAGTAGGCACAATGGGCGTTTGAATCCTGATACGTTGGATTCCCGTACGATGGATTGATCGCCTTCCCGGAGAACATCCCGAAGCCCGAGAAGCCGAGCGACGCGGGGAAGGGATTGATGTCCACGGGCGACTGGTGGGCGGACGGAGTCTTCTCGCTGGGCAGGAGCGGAATTGCGGGCTTGTGGGGCAGAATTGGGATGCTCGAGGCTGCAGATGAGCGACAACTCGACGCGCTGCGCTCATTCCGACGGAACTTTGCTCGCCGATTTTGGAACCACACCTGCAAATTGCCGCGGAAAATTAATCACCGCGCTAAAATTGATGATTCGCCAAAGCAAACGGAAGTGATCTTCCGCTTTGGTGAGATTTCCTCAAAGTATCTTTGTGATGTGTCGCAGAATTTTGGCATTAAAGTTAATAAAGCGAGAAATTTTAGCCTCGTCTTAATGATTATTGAGGATATTAAGTGAGAATTGCCAAATTGTTTGCCGTAAAAGCAGCGCAATTTGAGGAATTCCTGGTCATAGAAGTAGAGGGAAAATACTCACTTGAACTCTCGCCTCGCTCAGACCCACTTTTGTGGCCAATTCCTCCCTCACGAAGGCGTCTGGATAGTGGGTTCTCTCGAAGATCTTCTCCAGCGCCGTGAGCTGATTGCTGGTGAATGTGGTTCTGTTTCGTCTGGGCTTCTTTCCGCCGGCGCCCGTGGACGATTCCGGCAGCTGTGTGTAGCCAACGCTGTCCTCAGCTGAGGGTGGATGGGAAAAAGGGCACGATTGAGTGCAAGAGAGCATCTTGAGCTAATTACCACATTAGCACATGCTTCAGTTAATCGAGAGCGAGACTTGATGGCCCGTCATCATGTCAGATTGAGCGCTTGATTGCAGAAATTGCTTGCAAATGCTGCTGAATGACGCATTGATTGCATTCGCCATTTCCCACCGTCGCATTTTCCCTCCTTTGAGGAGATGCTTGCGTGGCAAACATCCTGTGCATCCCGAGCGGCAATTCCAATTACGATAATGTTTTCCTCCCCCAATTCTCGAGTGTCTCGTGCGGTGGTCGTAAATCTCAGAGAGATTGATGGCTCGCGACAAGTGCTCAAAGGATTCTCTCTCTCTCTGCTCAATGATAAAAATTCAAATAAACCCCGCGTCTTTGCTCCCTCATCGTGGCGAGAGAACGGGGAAAAGAGGATCGCTCGACGGCCAGAATGGGTGAAAATTTCTTTCACAGCTCGCGGCATTGTAAAAATTGAGACAGCTTATGACACTTTCGAGAGTGATCCATAAATCTTGCACTTGTGCCTCATGTCACGACATATCTCGTCAAATTCGTTGTGAATTGCGAAAGGTTCCAACGCGAGTAAACAATCCAATAAAACAAGGAATATAAAATTGCAACTCTTCCTGTTTTCAAACAGTCCATTTATGGGACGAATATTTTTCCTCGGAGAGTTTATTTCATAAAAAACACTACTTTTGACTTCAATCAAACCTTTCTCTGTCTTCTCTGTCTGTAATTTTCCCCCGGAAAACCTCAAAGAGTGCAGCAATATACACTGAAGATCGGGGAAATACTTTCCACTAATTAAAATATCAGACTCCACGGATCGTTTGAAACGTTTAAACAGTCATTTGTCTTAATTTATCCAGGCATTCCAGAATCATTTCTCAATGCGGTGAAGCTGAGGAAATCTCTGAGGATTGAGTGAAGAGAAAAAAACGTGAAATATTGTTCCACAGCAAGTTGACACGCTTGTCCTCTTGGATTGTGAACACATGTGATGAACATTTGAGTGGAAATCCGAGGACTTTTGGATGCCACAGACAAATTATCACGTGAAAATGGAGTTGTTCCCTTGCAAAATTTCCCCACTCAATGAGCCACATCAAAGATATGCACTTCAGCATCACACTTTTGCCACAAGACAGCCAATAAGTCATAAAAATATGTGACACTGTGTAAATTTATATTTTGACAATTTTAATTGAGCGCACAGAAAAGCGCAACATTTTCTGCACTCTCTCTGGAGGCTCATTTTGCCCATTCATCTCTTCTCCTTGTGGCCTAAAGAGGATAATTTACGAGTTTGTGGCGCACTTTAGCACTCGAAAAGGAGTGTTGATGTGAAAAGGCATTAAAATGTGTTCACAAGAGAGAGAAAAATCTTTTATGAGAGAGCACGATAGTAAAAAGAATTTTTCCACTTTCTTCTGCCACCGAAACATCCACTTTTACGAGTTCATCAATTAGCCGCGGGGGAATTATATCCCATTAGGAGCAATTAATACCGATTGTCACTGTAAACTTTTCATGATTTTTCCCGGAAACTCTCAGGCAATGTGGGTGAAGACATACCTGTCTGCAATAAATCCTTTCTCTTCCAACAATCCTTGTATGAATTGTATATTGCAGATCGATCTCACGGAGAGAAAGAAACCTTGAGGACTCTTTGGGTGAAATGTGATCCTCGAATTAGAGAGAGTGGCCGACTCTATTTCAGAGGGCAAATCCTGCACAGAAGTCACACATATGGAATGTCTGGGGCTCTTGGCTTATGACTTTGCAAAGCAGCGGAACATCTCAAGTGGAAGCCGAGCGTATCGTGACAAGTTGACTTGCATCCCAAAAATCTCACAGACACGGTATCAAGTGCCATCTTCGCTCTTTCATCTCCGATTTGTGTAAAATTAATAAACACACGCAGCATGTGCGCGTGATTCTCACCTGCTGGCCGCGGGTCGGCATTTGTACAATTGGCCAACTGGAGGAGATTGTTCACGGAGAACCTCTTCACGTTCTCCGATCCCTTCTGCGGGAAAATGTACCCCTGATCACCATTCACACTCGTCACTTGATCACCCGCGAAGGCTCTGTCGTGTGGCGCAAAGCTGGGCGGCTGGCAAGGAACTGCGGCTGTCGGTGTGTAGATCCCAGTCATGGGATACTCGGCGTCTGAGCCCGGATAATTCAGCATTCCTGCACACCTTCTCAGATCCAAGCTCAATTGACACGGCACACGATCACTTATCGCGCGAAATTAATTGAATTATCCCGTGTTGCGAGTGCGCTTTCACCGAAATGATAATTGTAATTAAATTATGAGATGATCACCAATTCATTTGAGGATCCTTAATTTAACAACTTGTCGCGAGTGAGCCCGAGATACAAGAGAGTTGTAATTTAATTATCTCACATCGTCTAATTGAAATAAATTGTCGTATACGCAACAGCTCGATTGTCAAATGCCGACTGAAATTATTTGAAAAAGTTGTGATTTCCTCGGGGATCACATCTCCTCGCAGCAGCGATCACTCCCTTTTCGCTCCGTCACATCGCTCTCTCCGTCTGAGTGGGAGGAGATGAATGGCTCTCTTTCGCATCTCAGAAAAGTCTGGCTTGTCTTCTCGTCTCACACACCGGAAAATGATTGGACGAGGCGGGGCTTCGAGGAAAATTCAAGATCACGACGCATCGTGAATGCGATCCTTCACACTTTCTCTCATCTGCACAGTAATCAGCGCGACTCACGTGATTGCAAATCGAAGATGATCGTTATTAGTGAGTCGAATCATCTCCCATTTAATTCCATGCCAGGCAAATTGATCAATATCGCCCAGACTTGCGATTGAGGCGGGACATTTTCGTGAAAATCTGTCTCTTCTTTTATTCACCCACCAAATTGTGGTTGACAGAATCAGACACACATATTTACGATCGCGATAATGCGAATACGTGTAAAACACACCATTTCATGTCCCACATGAGCAAATATTTATAATTTTTGCCCAATCTTCTAATTCCTCGCGGTCATTTTTAGTTTTTAGACGTGATTCATGGGCAAAATGATTGGGCAAAATTAAAAATTCAATAAATTGATACAATTATAATTGCTTATGACGGCGCGCGGATGGAGACATTCTTTGGGGAAACCAGGAAGCACATCCCTCTTTCTCTCTCTGCCTTCGTGAGCCAATTATCCGAATTCACTGCACTCATCAATTCGAGCTCTGCTCTCTGTGCATCCTGGAAGCCAGAGAGAGAGAACGTGGATGGGTATTTTAATTGAAACCGTCATGTTTGTGGTGACAAAAATGGGAAAATAAATAATTTCCGTCACACAGCAAACACCTTCCTGCACTTTCGAGGAGTGTCTCATAATTTACACGATCGTTGACAAAAATTTTCCGTATTCCTCCCAGAGAATCGGCAATAAATTATGCAATTACCAAAGGATTTCCAGCCCACAGATGCATAGATGGACCTGTCCTCGAGCCTCTCCGGCCGCAAAACAACTTTATTGACAACAGATTGAGGCTTTCCTGGCGCCATGACTGAGGCTCACTCGCTTCACGGCTCATTGAAAACTTTCCTCTCTCCTCAAATTATGAATTATTGCTATTCTCTTCGGAGGAGTCGCACAATTGCTCAGTCCCAATTAATTCAGAATAATTCTTCAAGTAGCCAAATTTTTGAAAAATTCTATAGAAGCTAATTAGCCGACGGGATTTCATTATTGAGTTTCATGACGGCAAATTCTGAAACTTCTTTTAAGTATTTCATCAAAATTATTGAGCAGATTTCCTTATAAATTTGCACTCAGTTAAAGCGATATTCATCTCTCATGTCATTTTAGGGTGTATTCTATGTATACAGAGAGTAATCAACAAGAGAAGAAGGTAATCAGCGGCATTCTCGCATTTGATATCAAAAATTGGGTGTGTTATTCAAATAATATAGTTAAGCAAAATACAAGACCCTTAAAGTTGTTCCAGAATCTAAAGATTTTTAAAGGATGGAAGTGAGATCGTTTAATCAAGAAAAAAAGAAATGATAATTGGTCAGTGATAATTTATTGTACTGCAAAAGATGTGGCAAATTTTTGTCTCTACTGATAAGGGCAATAACACATATTATATTCTGCTCACTTACATCACAAGCTGTGGAAAAATCGTGGGAATAATAAGCAATACAGGAACGAAATGAAGTTCCTTTTGCTTCTGAAGACGAGCTCCAAAAATTGCCATTAACGATTCCCAATTATCGCGCCCTTTTTTCTCCGAAGTGATAAAGTGATGTTTTTCTGGATAAAAAGACGAACATAATGCAGTTAAAAATATTTTCGTCTATTTCGGTTTTCTCGCTGCATCACCATTTTCGCGGGAGCGGAGACACAAGGATTGTCAGATCGAATTAACGCCATCGTAACTTTTCCTGCCAGCACGCGCCTCGAGATTTTCTCCCTCTCGCGATCGTTGGCAGAGAATCGAGCCGCTGGATTTCCATTGATTGGCCCGAATGGTTGGAGTGCTAGAACGTCTCGTCAGCGTGGATTCTACCCGGGTGGAGCAGTTGAGAAGAATCTCAGCTGCTGAGCTTTCAGAGGCTGTGAGTTTCAAGCATATAGTTGAGAATTGTCTCTCGTCAGCGTGTATCTTAATGTATACACATAAAACTGTAAAGTAATCTCACGAGATGAGAGATTTTCCGTTTAATAAACAAACAAGAAAAGGGGACTAAAAATATCGAATGGGTATAGAAACAATAGCCTTTGCGTGTGAACCAATTATCTTATATGCAGATTTGTCGATTTCTAATGATGACTTCGCGTGGACAATTCTCAAATGCAGGAAATTTCACTGTGATTCATTGAATGAGATTCACACTCACAAGCGCAACACTTTCCTTATCCAGCACCATTCCGCCTTGTATGAAACTCGATTCTCTTCTATTGTGTAAAAAATGCTTTTTGATCTGCTGTGTGGGCAACATAAAACTGGCGATCGCGGTCTGCTTGCTTGTGTGTGCGCGACTCGCGACTTAATAGAAGAAATCCAGTGTGCGCCTCCATCAGTGGCCCCAAAGAACTCAACACAGCAGCGCGAGTCAGCCATTGAGCCACTGTCCAGTTGGTGTGTTTGCACTGAAGTCACCCAGTGTCAATTTGCTGTCGAAAAGTCCTGTGTGTCGCAGTGCAATTACGTGTAATTTCGAGTATTGTGTATTAAAAAAAATCCATCTGAATTCCTTGATTATACCACTGAAATATTCATAAATTATCTCCCAATCGCTGGAGTGCCAGTGAAGTATTCGTGAATTAATTGTGACGATGAATGCACGAAATGGGGGGAAATTGAATTAATAATTCAGGAACTCTGGTCTCACACCATTTCACGCTGAAAGTACGTGAAGTACGCAAGTTGGATTCATTACTCGAATTAGAGAGTATTTCCATGCCTCACTAAAGCCTCCTTTCGTCCATCTGACTCCCACACAGTTGACTCAGAAGCTCGAGGGAATTTCTGAATAGTCAGAGCTGCAGAGGGACTTTTTGGCTATCTTCTTGGACGACTCATAATATTTCTGCTTCGTAAGTATTCGCAATTTGCTTCAGTTAATTGCCTGTCCGACCCACGAATTAACACTATTAACATTGACAATGAATTTCCGGTCCAAAGAAACTATTTTGGCTGGTTTCTCCACACCTCGCAAATCACTCTTCTTCCTTCTTCTGCAGCTCTCGCGACAATGGCTGGGCGGGACACGAGAATTGAGTTGTCGGCTTTGAATCCCGGCGTGTGTCTCACGGACATCCAAGTGATGCTCACGAAGGCATTCGAACAGCGAGACATCTCGCAATTCCGACAAGCTCTGGCCCTGGGAGCTGATCCACTCGTCCGCGACTCAAGGGGAAACTTCTCCCTGTTTGAGTTGATTTGCAAAGCACCCGGAACAGCGGCTTTTCTCGAGGCCTGCATCAAATCGGGCATCGCAGACACGCCTAATCCCATCTCTGGAAAGCGAGCCATCAATTTCCTCGCAGAATCTCTGGATCCGGCGAATTTGGAAATGTTTCTGGGGTATTTTCCCAACACAGATGTCAACACAACCGATGAAGATGACTCACCAATTCATGTCATTGTGAAGAGCTTGACTGAGGAGAATTTCTCAAAGTGCTACGATTGTGTGAAGATTTTGGTAAAGCACGGCGCGAATGTGAATATTCCAGACGCCCGGGAATTCACTCCTATTCTCACGCTGGCCAGGAGCAGAGTCCTTGGGCAGGAGGAGATCATTAAGTACTTGCTGAAGCACTGTAAAGTGGAATTGGATGAGTTTCGGGATGGAGAAGCTCGATTGCTGATCCAGACAAAATTTCCTCACATCAATCTTTCCACCAAAACCGAAGTGGAGAAGAATTTCGACTACTTCGCCAAGCATCTGATGGATCTCCACTTCAACGATGCTGCAGACAGGAAAGGTCAAGAGGAGAGATTTCTCTCAGAGCTCAAACAATTTCTTGGCGCGAAGAGTGACGAGGAGATAAGGAAGTTTCTCACAGACACGAATAGCAATGGAACTCTCCTCGGCATGGCCATTAGAGTGGGCTCCAAGGAGACAGTGAAGGAGATTCTGAAGAACGGTGCAGATCCCAATGGAAGCAAGGGATCGCGACGTCCAATTGCCATTGCGTGCATTCATGGCCAGTGGGCGATTCTGGAGGTGCTCTTGGAGAGCGAAGGCATCGATGCAAACTTCCCAGACGATCCTCCACTGTGTCTGATCGTTAAGAAACTGGGCGAGCCGTCCAACACTTCCAATTGTGACTACCAGAAGTGCTTCGACGTGCTGGTGGAGCACCCAAAGATTGACGTCAACCAGAGAGACAAGTGCGGCAGCACTGCCCTCCACTATGCCGTGCGCTACAAGGAGGAGAAGGCGATCAGAGCTCTCCTGGACAAGAACACATACTTGGGCACGCGCAATGTCTTCCAAGATCTCCCCATAACTGAGATGAATCCCAACCTGCTGGAGGAATACTTCGACAGTCGAATTACAACGAATGGCAGACGAGCGGGCGATGAGGATCTCGAGATCTACTTCGACTACTCCTGCCTCGTGCCGCCGGACGTCTGCGAGACTGCCGAGAAGTTCTCAGAGGAGATGAATCCCATCTACGAAATGACCAAGAGCAGGGAGTTGAGATCTTTGGTCAAGCATCCGCTAATCAGTAGCTTCCTCTTCCTCAAGTGGCATCGCCTCGGAGCGATTTTCTACGGAAATCTGATCCTCTACTCCATCTCCACGCTGACCATCATCCTCTACATCCTCCTGTGCTACGGCCGAGATGTGTCCGACGAAATGCGCTTCTTCATGCTCACCATCAGCAGTCTGGGCGTACTGTTCATCATCGGCCGCGAAGCGTCACAATTCATCACAGCTCCCGTGCAGTACTTCCGCCAGGTGGAGAACTACCTGGAGATGGCGATCATAGGGATATCAATAGTCGTCCTCACCGGATACAGTGTTACTGAGCACACCAGGAGAGTCATAGCGGCAATCCTCATACTCTTGTCCGCCGTGGAGTTTTCCCTGCTCGTCGGATCCCTGCCGCATCTCTCAATCTCCACCCACATGGTCATGCTGAAGACCGTCTCCGTCACCTTTATCCGGAGTCTCATGCTCTACTCCATCCTGCTCATAGCCTTCGCCTTCTGCTTCTACACACTCCTGGGCGGCGTCAGCGACTCTCCGGGCGACAATAAAGTGGAGGATGAGTTCAACAAGTTCATGGATCCCGGAACGGCTATCATCAAGACAATCGTGATGATGACCGGCGAATTCGAAGCGGCCAACATTGAGTTCAAATCCAACACGCTCAGTTACATCTTCTTCCTGCTCTTTGTGTTCTTCATGAGCGTCGTGCTCTTCAATCTCCTCAACGGTCTCGCCGTCAGTGACACGCAGGCCATCAAGGCGGAAGCCGAACTCACGGGATTCATCTCGCGAGCTGAGGTTCTCACGCGATACGAGAAGCTCGTGTTTGGCCACAATCCCGGCACGTGGTTCAGAATGATCTCCGATCTGTGTTACTTCCGCAAAATCGCCAAGAAGTTCATCAGCATCTTCCCCTTCTACCTCCCCGAGAACATCCTCGTGCTGAATCCCAATCGCAGCAACAGAATCTACAATCACTCGAGCACCAGCAAACGGCTGCGGAGTGAGAGTGTGAGTCTGGAGAATGACTCCTTGCTCAACACCTCCACATCCTGTTGCTTCGGTTGCGACAAGTGCACAAGTCTCGATGGCAAGATCGTGAGATTCACCAAGCAAGTGCTCGAGCGCAAACACTGGACGGATCAGTCGAAGCAGGACAAGCTGAGACTCGAGAATATCGAGCGACAACTTGGAGAAATTAACCAGAAAATCGAGATTCTTCTCCAAAATCAAGTCTAATTTCAACAAAAAGTGACAAACATACCGTGCGACGTTCGATGCCTCTCACTTCGGGCTCTTGCCCATGGAATCCTTGGCGCAGAGGAAGTTCAATTGGTCGCTGTAGAAGGAGTTGAAGTTGATTCTGTGCAGGAGATTGATCAACTTGTCGGCCGCATTGTCATTCGCCACGTCATTTATGTGCTTTATCAGACCAATCAGGAGTCCCGTGAACTCCAGATCGAACCTCTTCACGTTCTCAGAGAAAGTCTCCGAAGGCTCCATTGCCGATTCGGCCTGAAAGAGAGGCAGAAAGAGAGGCAATAAGTTGGGAATTCCCATGTGAGTGTGGCTGAAACACAGAACAGTTTTAGCGTGTGTTGATGTCGAAGAAGAGTGTGCAACTGGAGCACATCAGGTGCATATCAGTGCCTTGAGTCGCATGAGTGGCTTGTGTGTGATGTAATCGAGAGCAATACCTGATTCGGCTGACTGGCTGACATGTCATACTCCGAGTCTGACTGATCATTCCACCCACAACTCTTCAACATTGACGTGAGTTCAGCATCAATGAAATACCGCTGGGCTTTCTGATTATGTACAGAGGACAATCAACACGCCAAGCGGTTTCCCCACAAGTTAATAGAGACATTCGGTATATTTTTTTTGATCGGTTTTTGTGGAGGAGCAAAAGGAACAAAGTGAGACATCCAAGCCATACAGATGGAAAAGCAGCATAGAAGAGAATATACGGGAGACAAATTCAGTGATACAAAATACACCAGAAAGAAAAAAACAAAGCCTCAACTCGAGGACTTAATTGCACACCAATCAATCAATTAACACTCACCTGAATGAAGTCACAGAAGTGCGTGCAAATCTTCAGCAATCTCGTGATGCTCTTCAGCAAATCCGTGTGGATTAGCATACAATTCTTGAGGCACATGTCCAAGAAGTTCTGATGGACTCTCAACACGTCGTCCACATTCTCCACCGTGGCCATATTTTGATTCAGCACGTGCCAATTGGGCTCAATCACCTCAACCATCATGTAGTAGCTGATGTTCTGGATGGCATTCATCATTCGCTGGCGCAGCGTGAAGGCCGATCTGTACAGCTCTGCCGCTTCCGGGGCGAATTTCTTCGCATTATTATTGGACTTCCACACTCTGCAAACGAGGAAGTTTTGTATTATTCCACGCGCATATTCTAATGCATCGATGTTAAGTTAAATGTTACTAATAAAGATGTCATTTTTACTACTTCTCATCCTGTTCTCTCTCCCTCTACAATTCACATCATATCGTCACTAGTTTATGAACAGAAACAACTGGAAATGTTGCAGTTTGAGTGTCAAGAAATAATAATGTGATTCAAGATGTTAGACAATAAATATGCATTCATTCACTTTATCAATGACTGCTGGGAAAGTGTAATTTGTATATTAATGATCTGCTCTTTTGCATTTAGAATTCATGTGAAACTTGAAACAAAAAGATAACTATCGATTTGATAATTATTTCTCACTTTCAGTGGAGAAAAAGAACGTTAATTGCCAATTAAGCAACACTGTGTCAATTGTAATTGGTTTATCCAGCAATTCGCTCCGGATCTTCACAGACATTTTCCCTGAGACACACAATAAGACTGTTTGTACTCACTTGCAAAGCTGCCTCTCGACGTGCTTGCAGTAGAACAGTTGGCGAAAGAGCATTTGGTACTTGCAGATGATCAGAGGATTGAGAATCAGCGACACTGGCCACTTCACGCTGTACTGAAAGGCGAAGCACTCCAGACCCGTGAGATCGCGAATGTCCAGCGACTCCTCGTCGTCCAGGTAGTCATTGTTCGTGAGCCTGGACATCTGCGTGAAGAGATCCACCGTCAGCAGTGTCATGGTGAGGTCCTCCTTGTACGGATCATTCCTGGCCGCAGAGAGTCGCAGCGTGAGTCCCAGGAGATTCTCCAGCTTCACCGGCTGCACGGCGTGGATCTTCTTCGAGAGCTCCTGCTCGCACGCGTCCATGAACTGCATAATGAAGTCGCCCTGCTGCAGCAGGAAGTAGCGCTTCATGGACTGCAGGTGGCCCATGAGGTCGTTCTCCTTCATCAGCACGTCCAGCAGCGTGCGTGAGGCGAAGTTGTAGGCGTCTTTGATGAGCAGCACGTGATTCTGGTTGGAATGGGAGTAGACGAGGGCTTCGGAGCGCGGCGGGGTGATGTTCTGGCCACACTGCCGGATGACGTTCAGGTACTTTCCCGTGCGCAGGATGATGTCAGAGAGATTCTCGAGGAAGCGTGGAATGCGATCGTGGTGCACCATGTATCGCGCCGCCCAGTAGTTGAGCGTGTAGTCATCCTCGATGCCCTTGGGGCACACCTCAGTGTCCTCGATGAGGAACTCATTGTGCGGATCCGCCACGGCGCCCTTGTAGATCCACGCCTGCAGGGCTTCCATGTATGGCACAGCGGCCTTCTGCATGAGATCAATGAGCGTCTTGCGCGCATTGGCGTTGCCCGTGCGATTGGCGATCCTGTCGTCCAGCAGAGTGAGCACCTCGCCGCCCCGGATGTTGGCCTGCGTGATTGTGTTCAGGGCATCGGCGATCACTTCCATGGACACCATTATTGGCTTCGTGTAGTAGAGCACCTTGTGGAGCGTGAGATTTTCCTTCTGCAGCAGCGCCTCTAGCTCCACCACGGATATGTAGTAGTCATGACAGAACTCCCTGATGGCTTCCGCCAGCGCCTGGAGCACAGGGCCGCTCTCCATGTCGTCCGTTCGCTGGATGAAGCTCTGGATCTGCGAATAGTGCAGCGCCAGTGGCAGGATGTCCTTCACGAGGTCTCTCAGAATCTCACTGATCTGATCGGACACCTTGAAGCCCACCAGAGTGTCTCCCTGGAACTCGGGCACGATGTACGTCCCGCGGATGCCGATCAGGCAGAACAGCAGCTCGCTCAGGATGATGCTCTCCTGCGAGCTGATGGGAATTGCAGCAGCGTTGAGGTATGTCGCCCCACCAACTGGCTCTCCGTTTGTGAAGTTCCACTGTGCGTAGGGGCGCCGCCGAACGCCCGTGCTGCGCCTCAGGCCGTCCGGAGAGGGCATGACAGAGGCTCCGGTGGTGGACCTCCTACTGACGTGCGCCTGTATTCGCTCCCTCACCTCGCTCACGTCCTCCGTGTCGGTAATCTTGGCGGAGCTGAGCTGTGGAGAGACGCTAGTCTGACGCTTGGACATATTTTCACTCAATTTTCACGCTACACCGCACAGAAAACGCCAGAAAATGCAGAAGTGTTTACAAAAATTTTCAAACCACTCATCAGCGCCTCTGAAGGGAATGTAGTGAAACGCCAATGAGATATTTTTGGCGGAAAAAGTATCGCGAAATGATTGATCATTAGCTGACAGGGTAAATAAGAATTGATCAGTTGCAAATTATATTCATAATTCTATTGATTTTACATGTAGTAATTATATTCAATTATCAATGTAATTATAAGAAAATTATTCATAAGCAAATATGGGCAGTGTTGGCTTCACACCGCTAGAGGGTCGCTTTAGCCAATACACGAACACTCACAGCATTTGAGAATTGATTTCAAAATTTCCCATTAGGTGGCCATTTTCAAAATCATTCCTAGAAGGATTTCTTAACGAATTTGTTTATTCAATTCTCTGATTGAAAGAAACATTAAGAAATCCAATAAATTTTTTAATAAGAACATCTTGGCAGCAATTTGAGGTTTATAGTGGATAATTTAATGTTTGAGTAGCCGAAATTTGGAACGACGCCAATTGGCTGAAATTTCATCTTTAAAGTGCTTTTTAGATCTTCATTTATGCATCTTAAGTCCCCGTGTGAAATTAAATCTATACAGAAACATCTACAGCGACTTATTCATAATCCATCTCACATCGTATTCTCAAGAGAATATTGGAAAAGCGCGGCTTTCATATTTCAATCTCAGTATTTCTTGAGAATCTCCGCTGAGGGCTAATTTCTTGGAACATCCCTCAGCGCGATTAGCTCTCTCTCTCTCCCACAGATTTTCCGCTCTCCGGTGACCACCAACAAGTGTCTCTCCTGAGAGTGTGCTGAGCATGAGAGGTGAGAGCATCGGCATCACTTGTACTTGAAAATGCAATTATGTGGAGAGAAAGGAAGATTCAGTGTGTTCCGCTCTATCTCGGCGTCACAGAGTGACTAGGCGAATTCGGTGGGTGGGATGATAAAGTGGCAGAAGACATATCTACTCAGGCAGCATCTTCGCTGAGTGTGTACAGTTTCTCTCTCGCAGACGAAACTTGTGCCATGTACATAAAAGTGGAGCCAGAAAATTGTGGCAGAGAGTCATATAATGCGAAACGCAAGCTCCAAGCGCTCCAGTGCTTCACAGTTCGTCCGACTGCTCGGTCGCGAGTGCCTGCGAGTGGTGGAGCTGCCCCAGCTTGAGTCCTTCTCATCCTCAGCCTGGCGCCTCGGGATGAATCCTGATGAAAAGTGCCCCCACGGTGCTCCACAGTGATAAAGTGTCTGCCCAAATTGAGATACATTTTTTATGGACCAAATATGGCACTCGAGGACGAGCGGCCTGGATGAGGAGGAGAGCCCTTGAAATATTTTGCACGTGCTCCCCATCCATCGCTCACAGGCGCGCTCCCTCCCGTCAGTCTGGTGGGTTCTTCGTGGATTTTTCTGACCACCGAGAGCCAGTCTCTCGGCCCTCGTCATCGCCCCGGGCTGGCGAAATTGATCTGTGAGGTCGCAAGGACACCGAAGGGATTTTTCCGCGCGCTCCTCTCACCTGGCGAAAGTGGTAACAGAGTGTGTGACCTCTAGGGAGCCAGAGTGACCCTGTCGCAAATCCACCCCCGGCCACATGTCAGTGTGATATGGCAAATATTGCCTCTCTGCACTGCGTGAAATGCGATTAGGCGGACGGAATTGGATCGTGAGTGATTTCATTGGGAATTGTACTCTCCTATTCAGGAGCATCACCGCGCGATGATGAAGGGAAATTTCATGCAGAGCAACGCGCACAAATTACATAACAGTGCCACCACCAACACACAGGCACCCTAACTATTTATTGGCCTCCACCACATCGTGTTATATGTTGATTTTTGCGGGCGGTGGACGTCAAAGGTCCGAATGGGGGTGGATTCTGCACCCCCGCCCCTGATAAAAATACCCAATTTGTCGTACTCGAATGTTGTGCAGCGTGAAATGAAACACAGGGAATATTTATTAATAACGAATTCGCTTTCGCTTCTCTCTCTCTCTGTGATTCCATGAGGGACGCTTCGTGAGTATCAATAGACAAATCAGTGGCACATATTGGCTGTCTATTTGCAGTGAACAAGATATTCGATGGGATATCGCTGTGCTGGCGAGATTTGAGGCGTGAGAGGGTGAATTGATGCATTTCATCGTGGCTTTCATTTTAATCACAGATTGATGAGTGGCGAATAAAATCGGCTCAATCAATTTCTAATGTTGTGATATTTATTTGGAAGCTCTGAATATTTTCATTTCATTCGATAATCTCTTCTCTAATCTCCCAAATTCATTTTATTCTCAAGGATTTTATATTTCAAAAATTGTTTATCTCAAATCTACAACGCGCATTGCGTTATTGAAAAATAATGACAAGGGGATGCAGAGCTAGGAATAAAATTTAGAGTTGTTTTGTGCTTCTGCAAAAGATCCGAAACCTATAAATCTTCATTCGGTAATAGGAAAGGCGACGCGCAGACCTTGTTTATGTTATTCTTTCATTTGAAAACCAACATTTCATGTAAATTTTTACTCCGAAATTTGTGAAAAGCGAAAAACTGAGAGCAAAAAGCCACCCCACACCCTCTGAAAAACACCCTCCATGAATCTCACCTCCCCAATTCTCCTTTTGTCCTCAATAAAACACCAGATGGAAGGGTTTATCACTAGCAAATCTATGGGTTCCTCTCCATCTTGCCCAGTGGAAGGGATACACATACAGCACCCCAAAACCCTTGATGGCCCAACGGGGCGAAATTTATCTTGTACACCACAAATATTATTCCAACACACGAGAGACCGCAAAAAGCGAGAAAAGAAGCAAATTTCCTCCCCAAGAGCTGCTGCCCGGGCGGTGGAAGGGGAGAGCAAATCAAATGAGAAACCCTTCCGTCGAATGGCTGCTGTGAAAGGAAGGCACACAATTTGAAAGAAGTACAATTTCCAATTTATTATTCATTTGTGAATGCACGTCATCTTCCAATATGTGGCGCTCAATTGTTGAGCATTCACGCAGCTCCTCGTCGAAAAGCTTTCTCTCTCTCTCTCTTTCTCTGTCACTGCGTGAACAATTCAATGGAGCGCCCATGTCGTAATATATATGGGCAAAAAGGATTCTTTTGAAGAATCCAGAGGATTTTTGATTGCCAAAGAGCTTCCTCGAGTTTCGCGCGAAATTCGTGCGGATGTTGAAAGACGGGTCAAGGCGACACTCTTCACAGCTTTCGTCGAAATATCCATTACATAAATTCAGCATTTATTCTGTTCTGTGAATTTGGCGGTGAAAGAGTTCCGAGAAATTTAGCAAATTATCGCTGATAATTATTCACTTCACATTCGTGGGGATATTGAAATTGACGCAAAAGCTTTTGTACCACAATTTTAACTGAGTTTGAAAGGGTGAAAGAATTTAATGGCGTTGCATTCATGGATATTTTATTTAATTTTATATGAAGAGGGAAAACTGTCGTCAATGTTATATAATATTTAACCACGTTGAATATACAATATAAATTGGAGAGAAGCTAAATATTCAGTTTCGCCGGACATTTGTCATTCCACCTGAAATAATAAAAAGAAGGAAAAAACCTACGGAACTCTGTAAAAATAATGACATAAGAAAGTTATAATTAATTTGACTTCACGACGGGGAAACTCTTCGAAACTTTCTCACCCAAAATCTTTTCTATATTTACCTAAAAACTTTTCAAACCCAGGAGAATATGAAGAGTGTGATTAGTGTGATACACAGGAGCATATGCGTGCACATAATTGATACACAGGTGTTGGGCAAAATAGTAGAGATTGTTTTTTGTAAAAACTTGCGTAATCCCCATTGAAATTTCCACCTCGCAAAATTACCCTACTAATTACCCTTAATACCTGTTCCTGAGAAGTGATACGAATTGGTGGCAAAAGTTTCCATCCGCAATTTCGAGCACGAATCAAATCCCCGTGATTTACCGATTCGTCCTCTTCTCCGCAAAACTGTGTGCCTATCGAATCACAAATTCGCAGGTGATAAATGTAAATACAATTTTGAGAATTTCCATTTTTTCACGCTGTACAGCATTCCGGCATTCCTGGTCGAGCGAGAGTGATGTCGAGGCGGAGATAAAGAATCACAAATTGCGACTACTTTTCACGTCATCCCTCCCGGTGGTATCTTTAGCTGCTGTGTGTTCCTTTTTTGCGCCCTGCTTGGGAAAAAAAGCACCCCCGAGGGGCCGAGAGAGATGGAAAGCAAACATAAGTTGAGGGTGGAGAGTTTTCGCATTGCCGGCGGCAATATACTGAGAATGGACACATTTTTGGGGAATGGAAATTCAATGAGGGATTGTTCCACCCTCAGCCAAAGTCCATCTCACCCCCTCGCAGTGCCAGGAACTACAGCAACAAGAGCAACAATAACACATTGTAGGACAAAAGTCAGTGGTGGATGTTTAATTAAGTGTCCGAAATCCTCTTATTCAAATGTATGGGGGTCAGCAGAAGGCATTTTGGCGACAATGAGGGTGGTTTAGTTATGTAAATTTGTACGCAAACATCACTAATAGTTTCTCTTGAATGACTTTGCCAAGATCTCGACGCGTGAAGAGTGTGCTTGTCTAATCGTGAGAACCGCTCTTAATGGTGGAATTGAAATGGACAGATGGTGTTGAAGGAGCAGAGCAATTAATCTAATTGCGCGAAGACTTTGTCAACACACGAGTATCGCAATGGAGCCCCCGAGAGTTCCGCCCCCATTGTTGGGCGCTTCATCTTCATCATCGCCCCAGAGACGGACGCGTCTGCAGAGGAGCGAGCGGCTGCCAGGAGCCACTCCGAGCGAATCCGGCACAGCCACCACATACTCCACATGGGAGACACTCGTGCGTGATAGTTTTGGACAAATCACCTGGCCCATCCGCCTGACTTCGTGGGAGTTGGTGAATGATCCCGCAGAAATTGTTCCCACAAGGTAAGATGCTCGATGTGTCATCTTTTGTCTTACACCATTTATTAGACACGACACTATCACGGAAGACATTGAGGTGGATCCCTCGCATTTGATGAGGGTACACAATAGAGCGTCACAC